AAGTACCAAGTAATTATGCACAACAACAACAATTATCAGCTGCATCACAAGGTTTGTTTAATTTTCATATAAAAGTCATCATATATATCGAATATTATTTAATTTTTCAGGTTATACAAATCAATCACCTACACAATATATTGCTGCACCACAACCAGCAAATAATAATTCATCAAATTCTTCTTCATCATCATCTTCATCTGTTACTCCGACAGCAGCGATAGTAACATCATCTTCAGCGATTCAGTCTCAACCAACATCTACTATTATTTCACCACAAAAACAAAGTGCTGCATCAGCAACAGCAGCTGCTCTTCAACAACAACAACAATATCAACATGCTCAGTATTCATCAGCACAACAACAGCAGCAACAGCAAGCCGCAAACGGTGCTCATAATACAAATGTTTATTATGCAGCAATAGCTCAAGCACAAGCTCAACTTACTGCTCAAGTACAGGCCCAACAACAAGCTGTAGTCTTAGCACAGCATCAACAACAACAACAGCAGCAACAGCAACAACAGTTTAATTTATATTCTCAAGTAAATATATTATCAATAGAAACAAAAAAAATAGTAGATGATTATTTTCATAACTTTCATCTTTTAATTAGATGCAATATGCAACTCAACAAGGTATTCCACAACAGATGTATTATGCTGCACCCGGTGGTCAAACAATATATCAAGCAGGTGGACAGAGTTATGTAATTGCTCAACCAGGAACAACAACTACCGGAGCTCCGGCAATGTATTCTGCAGGTCCTGCATTACATAATGGTGTTGCTCAACAACAAAATCAACAACAATCAGCACAATCTCAACAACAAATAGCTTATCAAATTGCTGCAGTACCTGGTCAATCAGCTAATGCAACTTATCAAATGCTTAGTGCTGCATCTAATATGAATGTTTCTGCACAACAACAAGCAAATGCAGGTGCTGGTGTTGTTGCTCAACAAGCAGCCCAACTTGTACAACGTTCAAGTGTAATACCACAAGTACGACATCATCCATATAGAAATCAATAAAAAAAAAATGAATTTGTTTTTGTTTTTCTTCTGCTGAATTATTCCTTTGTTTATCACTATTTGGTAACAGTAGGACACCTGTGTTTGATCATTTTCTATATATATGAGAATTTCATTTTCTTGTGTATCACATTTTTTGTTTATTTCAATATATTCATTACACTTGTATATTCTAAATATATTCAGCAGTTGTTTAATTTGTATTTTGTTTTTGATTGTATAAAATAAAAAACAACAACAACATTTTTATTAGCATATGAACACACAAATATAAATATATTCTTCTTATAGACTTGTATTTCACTCAAAAATTTCTTTAGATAATAGAGAAACAATGAGTAAGAACAATGATGATAATACTCTAGAATATTATAGAGCAAAACAAAATGTTGGACAAGTATATGTAAATAAACAAGAAAAAAAAGAAAAATCATTAAAATCGACATTAGAAAATGAATCATTACAATCAAGTTCAGCTGGTTATGTTCCTCTGAAAGAATTACCAGCAAAACAACAAGAGTTTGAACGTTATAAAGAAATAACATTTGCACAGAAAGCAAGTGAGAAAGCAAAACAAAATCCACTTATACCGTAAATAAATCATTCAAAATATTCAATTCGAAAATAATTTTTGTTTTCTAATAGAATTGGTTTATTAGCAACTGTAGCTGCATTAACATTAGGACTTCGTGCAGTATCACGTGGTGATAAATGGCAATCACAAATGATGATGCGGTCAGAAAAAAAACGAAATAAAATTAAAAAATTTCTAATTCTATTTTTTCTTTATATTTTTTAGAGCTCGAATTGGGTATGTTTAAAATACGTGCTAGTTTTATAAAAAACGCAAATATTTATTCAAACTATTTTATCCTATATAAATGTCCTTAAATGAGTACATTTCTTGTTTGTCATTAAATCCATTATAAAGCATATGTCATAATTGACAAAAGTGCAAATTAAATTATATTTATGAGAAAAATGAATATAAATTTTTAATAGGATATATATTTACTAGAGAATCTTTTCGGATTAAATGTATAATTCTTTAAGCTTAAAAAAAGAAGAATATATAGAATAATAAAATTTCTTTAGGGATTAAGATCTTTGTATATTTTTTAAATTGGTTGGTTGACATTGATTTTTCTTATATGATCGAACATATTTTCTATTCCATAAGGATTGAATGTTCTTTGAGTACATTTACACAATCATCATTTTAGACTATGATGAAAACAAAAATTGTTAAAGCCATTCGAGTTTTTTTTTCTCCTTTCATCTTGATATAAATTCATCCAAATTGAATTAATACAATGATATTTGAACATGTTAGTAATTAACAATGAGGAAAGACTATAATTATATTTGCCTAATTCAATAGTTCTTCAGGGAAATATTTTGTCAATTATCAATTGAGATAAACATCATAGAATCTTTTAAAATAATAATATTTCATTTTAGTGCTCAAGGTTTCACAATTCTTGCTGTTCTTGCTTCTATTATGTATGCTGGTGCTGGACAAAGTCAAGGATCTAATCAAGAACCATCACCACCTCGTCGATCTTCTTCCTCATAGAAAAATTTTCTTCTCTTTTTTCTTATCTTTGTCCCTTGTCATATATAATAGATATCTTCTTTGACAGAAGAAGAAGAAGAAGAAAAGCAAACAATTAATAGAATATATTGAATATTTTTTTTCTTGAAAAAAATTTTTCAAAAGAAAAAAAAAATGCAAGACATTTAATATAATATCTTCATTTTATCCAAAACAGAAAGACACAACTATACATATATATATATATATATAAATAAAATTTAGAAGTGAAAATTAAAGAAGATATAGGTGCTGCACTTATTATGTTTTGTGCATAAACAAAAAAGCTCAAAATGTAAAAGTTAATTATACAGACAATGACAATCACAAAATAATATTAAAACCAATAACAACATCAAAGGAAAAATTTTGTTTTATATATACTTATATATTTATATATAAAATGACCTAGAATATGCTTCAATTAAAATTATATATGAGAATATATGTATTTATCACCGGAAAACAATAAAAAAACAGATTACAACCGGAAAAGAAAATGTTCTTCGTTAGAACATTATCGGACGGATGTGTAAATTTTAAGATGTCGAACACAAGCAATTTAATATATTAGAGTTCTTTTGATGATGATGATGATGATGGTAATGAATTTTTTATTGAAGATGTTGATGGCCATAAATGATGTAATGATTGCAAACGATTTTCTATTCGATATGCAAGTGTAATTAAATAAAATGAATGAATTATTAATATTAATACAAATATTAAAAGTATAAATGATGTTTTTATTGGATAAGTTTTTAATTGATTAAATACTAATAATAAATATTCAATAATTAATTTTATAATAGATATAATAGATAAAATAATTATACGAGGATATTTTATTAAGATTCCATTATTATGAGAATTAATAATTGATAAATCATTATTTGATATAATATTTGAGGATGTATTTGATGGATATGTAGTGGATAATGCTCGATCATGACTATGACTTTGATGCGTATTGGATAAGATATTATTATGAGATTGCTGATATACTTCAGAATCATCATCTAAATTAATACATAAATAAATTTATTTTTAAAATTTACTAACAGTTTTTATTTACTATTTCCAATAGTGATATTAGCAAATGTAAAAATCATTCTCTATCTAGTGATTTAAGTTGACAGTTGTAAAGTGTTTTTTGTCGTTCAATGAAATCACTCAATCTATTGAGCTAATGTAATATTATAGACTACTTTTGAATAGTTATTTTCAAATAATAATTATAATAAAATGATTTTTATTCTAATGGGCTTTTATCAATCTGACATAATAATAAATCTTATTCAATCGTTTTAAGTATTTTATGATAGATATATGTTCATGTCATGTCAAATTTATTTTAAAATTTAACGGAAACCTGTAAGATATAGTCTGAATTGTTTTCAAAACAAAATGTTTTGGTTCTAAGGGACTAAGCTAACCTAACCATCTGATCAGACTTTATTATCAGAGATATTTTTAGCAAAACAATATTAAAACTACCTGTCAGCAATATTTTCTTTCAACAGATGTTTTAGCATTTCCGATCAGTTATGACGGTTATAAAAGAATGGCTTTGACAATTTTAGATAGACAAATAACATAAATAAAGATAAATTTTCGAAATAATTTTCTATATATAGACTAATTTCGATCTTAAATTCCAAGAAACTATTTATGCCCTTAAATATTTTTATTTTAATGGTTTTGAGTGTGTACTGTTAAAAACATGTCACTTCTATCTAAATTGAAATTTATAATATATGATTTTTTGTTTTCATAATAAGTCTTTTAAGTGGTTTCCGATGTTTTCTTTTCAATAGAAATAGACTACAGTAATACTAAAAAAGCCTCAAAAGATTTATATTTATAATTCTTCCTTACGACATGATTATTATTTCTTTATGATTGTGTATATATAATAGTAAAGAACTTAACATGGAAGACTTATGAATACCAATCTATTTGAAACTCTCTTTTTCTTTTTGATTAATCATATGAAATAAGAATTTATCAAATTGTTACTTCAATTTTTTAATCTTACTTAATATTGTATCAGTTTGTTTTTGTTGATTTTTACTATGACGTGATGTTCGATTTGATTCATTATTTTGAGATATATTGTAATTTGGGTCAATAGATAAATCTTGTTCGTTATTTGAATTTTTAAGAGCCGATTTCTTTTTATCTGAATTAAATATTTTTTTGGTTCGTTGCTGTTGTTTATCATTACTAAATTTTGAAGAATTAGATTGTAATCGTTGTTTATTATTATTGTTATTATTATTATTATTTGTTTTATCTTGTCCTAAACACATTTGAAGAACATTATCGTGTTCTGATCCGTCAGGTATTTCATAAGTATTATTGTGTTTAGATTTTTTATTTTTTATACTATTTGTTGGTTTTAATGTTCCACCTTGTGTTAGACGATTTTCATCATCATCTTGATTTGAAATTGTATCATTATTAAAACGTGCACATATCGATATTATTTTATCATATGCTTGATCACGTTGAAGAAATGAAGCATAAATTATCTTTTTGCCTGACGGCTTAATTTGTATACCAATCGCTGTTGGAAATATAAATGCGACACGTTCTTTTGTTACATTTTCAATTTGTTCCCAACGATAAACATGTTTTGTTACATAAGATATTATACGTGAATGAAAACAAAGATAACGATCAGTTATATACATTTTACCTTGCAGTAAAATATCTCCTAAAATAATTTAAATTTTTCTTTTTGCTTTTTTAACAATATTTCATATGATTATTACCTTGATATGCACAAACATACGAATCAATTAATTCAGGCATATCTTCTTCTGCTATTTCTGATTTAAATAATTTTTGAAAATGTTTTACACGTCGTGATAATTGATCGGATGAATTACCATCCGTTTTTTGTTGACCACTATCTCGTCTTTGTAATTGTTGTTGCTGTTGATTTTGTATTGGAAGATTATTTAATTCTAAGGAATTATTATCATCAGTATATCGTTCGTCTTGTTCACTTTCTAGTTCACTATCAGTTGTTGTTGATGATATTGTTGCAACTAAATTTATTGGTGGTATAGAAGAAATTTTTTCATTTAATATTGCATTTTTAGCACCAGCACTATCAATTGATGACGAAGATGAATGCGCCATAACGATATTATTTCCTGGAAGTTTTTGTTGATTCGATGAACGTACTACATTAGAATTATTTTTTTGTAAAATATTTTTCGATCCATTTGTATTTGTTTCATCCAGTACATTAGATGAAACTATCATTGACGCAGGTCGATTATTGGCCATTTCAACGATATCTATCAGAAAATATAATGACAATAATGTTTTGTATCATATTTATATAGATAAAAAAAAGCAGTTTATTTATCGGATTACAGTATTATTTCTAATTACCTTCGTTGTTTTTTTCGATATATCTATCTGTCTATCTGTATGTATGTTTACATAAATCGACCTCAGGTGATCAATCATAATATGAAAAGAAAATATAATATCATCATCGACCTAATTCGGAGAGCACGCGCACTTACTAATGCAAGTTAAATATAAAATGAAGTGGAAGATTTTTTGATGAAATAAGGAAACGAAGCAATTAACAGAATGGATGTGCAATGAAATAAAAAGAATTTTGCATTATTTATATAACGAATATTTTTTAGTCTTACTGAATCCGATCCGAGAAAGAAAAAAAAAATGTTTTTTATACGTTCTCTTCCGATTTTTCTTTATTCTTTCTACACGTTAGTCTGTTATCGATAAGTAGATCGTTTGTCATCATGACTGCATCTACCACAAAACTTAAATCGACCTATTCTCAAAAAAAAAACAATCCAAAAATCTTTTATAAATACAGGACTATTGACATTGATCGTACATATAAGTAAAGACATGGTATAACGTCATTGTTTGTCATACATAGGATGTAGGAGAACAAGCTAAGAACGAAAAAAAGAAGTACTGATGACGATAATTATTCATCAAACACGTTATCGTAAAGATTTTCAATTGTTGCTTGGTACAAACTCGTGGGCACTATACCACCAATCAGCGTTAAACAACCAAGTCACCCCATACTATTCTTCTCCTCCTCTGTTTCTTCTTCTGCTTCTGCTTCGACGACTCAGAGCAACGGATGAAGAGAACATGCCATACTCGTCTCCATGCCGTTCTTCCATTCATTTCTCGTTCGCATGTTTTCTACTTTTTTAAAGTGCTTGAGCAGATGACGGTTGAGCAAGTTACGCCTCGAGAGAAAATTCTCCGTATTAGAAACGATCGATAACAAATGTAAAAAGGAGAAGAAGAAAAAAAAAAGTGAATTCTACGAAAAGAAAACGGAAGATGACATTTTATGTTCTACTTCTTTTCGGTTCTAATCAATCTTTAAATAACGATGTTCCTAATGAAATAAAAGAGTAGAGGAAGAGAAAAACATAATTAAATTCGATTTGTATCCTTCATTCGGAAACTATATTGTAAATAAAAAAAAAAAGGAGAAAATGTCTCGTCGTCTCTTTATAATTTTATTAATAATTTTTTTTAGGAAAATTTCCTTTTAATGTATATGATAATTCTCTTTTTCTATTTGTTTATTTTACAAATAATATTGAATAACAAGTAAATTTGTATATAAAAGAGAATAAAAGTAATATTAATATTAAATTCAAATTTAATGATGCTATTAGAATATATTATTTGTAACTATGTGGTTTAATTTTTTTCTTTCTTTTTCTTTAATAGCCAAAATAATTGGTCGATGGGAAAAAATATCTTATATTAAATGTTTTTATTTTGCTTTTTTTTTTTTGTTTCTTCAGGTAAAAAAAACTTATCTTTAAAGAACGATAGAAAAAAAAAGAAAAATGATTGTTCTTACCCGTCAATTGAGCAAGATGAAAGCGAGGATGAGTCGATGCAAGCTGATAGAACAAGAATCGAACGATATTATTCGACGCATTTGACTGGTTGTTTTGTTGCTTTCATATATAGATTATATACATACCGACTTTATATAATATAATGATAGAAATACGAGTCACTTATTGTAGCTACGAGAGACAATGTGAATATAATTAATATTATTATTATTCAAAGATGAAGACATCTAGAGACAAGAAAAGAGAATGAATTAAGTTTAAATTATACAAAAGAAAAAGTTGATAAATAATCTAGATTGTCAAGTTAAACATAGTGTTAATATGTAAATGTTCATTTGTTATGGAGAATAAGTTAGGGAAAAGAACAGAAGCAGAAGAAAAAAAAAAGATGATAAATAAAATATCAAAATTTTCATTTGTCAATCAAATCTATGGATTCAATAGAAGTTAGAATAGATGTCGTTCTATCATAAGTACAAATATTATATTTTCTTATCTTTTCTATTTATAGTTCACATTAAGAAAAAAAGATTTGGCGTAAGGATAAATATAAATCTAATCTTTTCTTTTTTTTTGTTTTATAAGATTTAACTGATTTTTGAAAATTTATAAATAGATCAAAGATGATCTCATAAAATAAACTTATTAGATGTTTATTATCGATTGAAAATCATGGCAAGTAAAGAAGTAGAATTGTAATAATAATAATACAAACATTTATTTTGGTAGTTTTTCTTTTTTTTTGTGAAGTACTCATTGTGAAGATTTTAATTGCTATGAATGATGAAAAATAAAAATGTACTCAAACATTTAGAATAATACTAGAAACATACTCAAGAATACTGTTGTTCAAATAATATAATGAATTTAAAGTATCTCAAATGACTATCATAGAATTTTTCTTGGAAAAATATCAGTATCAGAAACAAACTGCTACTGTTTGAACATGAGAGTATATTGTTACAGCAGTGGCGAATTTAGAAGATGCGATCGTCTAAGAATCAGTAAATAATATGGTGGATGGGGGACGATAATACGATTTTTGATCGAAATCGATCCCACCACAAAAATCCTACATCCGCCACTGTTTGAATTGATTATAAATCGTAATGGATCTGTTTACTTCATCATTAAATACATGTACAGTTATAAAATAATTCTTTCTCTAAATTAAAATATATCTGAATGAAAGTAGACATGCGTTGGAATTATGTATAAATGTAGCTTGATTCAAAATCGAATTTAAATAATTTTACATTGATACATATTTAATCCAAATTGATATCGTGCTTCATAATTTGCAGTTATCAATCTTGTAGTACTTATTCATGTCTAATAAATCTGGTAAATGCTCTAGTTTTTCATTATCTACTTATCCGAAATGATATAGTAAATGATTATACTTACCTTTAGATTTAATTTGTATTAAGTTGATCAAAGAAAATTTTCGAAAAAAGCTATCCAAGTTCTGAAAAAGCATGAAAAAGTAGATGTCTTTTTCATCGTATATATACGACTAGGCATGTAGCGAACCCGAGAGTTCGGGTTCGGTTGATGTTTCATAATTTCTATTAAAATGTCTCCACATATATCAGAAATATCATTTCGATGCTCAAATTGTTATAGTACGGTCCGAACCACCCCAAACCCGAACTGTTCGGTCCCGAACTCGAATTGTGAGTTCCGGTTCGGTTACACGCCTATATACGACAAATTAAGGTATAATAAGGATGTAATTATTTCTTTGAAAAACAGATCAAGTTGACATTGCTAGTTGTGATTTATAATTAAAACATAATTATTACACTTCATTGAGTATAATGAATAAATATAAGACTATGAATTAGCGAACTCTAGTATAGTATCGTGACGAGGATTTCTATGATTGGTTAATAATATAAATTAATAGTATCTGAAATGTGTCTGCATCTATCTATATGAATGTTATAACTTGCCATATATGATAAGAATTGAAAGTTTATATTATGTATAATGATTTATTTCAGATTTCTTCAATTGAAATTTCGCAAAAAATTAACGACTACTAAATTTATTTATACTGATGGAACAGGTTTATTATTTCTTTATAATTTTTATTTTTATTTAGTTGTAATATATATTTTTCCAAATGTAGTACAAAACTAATGTCAATTATTTTAAGGAGCAATTTTAAAAATATTTGTTACACTACTTGAGCATATCAGACTTCTTCTACAAACTTAAGATGTTCCTAGAAAAAAAAATACCAGGGTTTTGATGACTGTCTAGTTCGAGGTATTCGAGAAGGATATGTTATATCTCTTTGTCATAGTCATCAGGCAAATGTTATAAAAATATATATGATTGATTTTATTAAAAACAAGAATTTCTATTTGGTGATCATTTAAATTCATGTACAATTCGTTATATCATCATTGCTTATTCACTCGATACAATTCGACTGTAATTTGAAACTATATTTAGATTTTAGTCATTTAATGATGCAAATTAATCGTGATGATATAATGATAGATTATGCAAACAAAAATAATTATTAACGAGGACCTGACAGTATTTCATCATAGCGTTGATTCATCATTTATTCTTGTTTTTCTGATGAATTTAAACGATGATTGGTTCTTGCTAGTTGGTCATCAATATGCTAAATAGTTTATTTTCTATTAAAAAAATAAGAAAATTCAAAATGTTAGATATATATATATAATTATTTCTTCTTTGTTTCTTTTTTTCTCTAGTAAATTTGCTCTATTCTTATCTTTTTTCGTTATAATAATAGTGACTTTATACCTTAAAAATATTCTGTTGTGTTAAAATAAAAGTAACCAACAATTTAAAGCATATATTTATTTTACCTCTTTTTATACTTTTTTTTTTCTAGATGACGACTTCGAATCAACAATTAGTTGATCTTGATTGGAAATTTGCTATAAATGTTGCAAATAGTGATGCTGATGGAAATGCTGGTGCAGCTCGACTTTATTTAAAATTAACAACACAGTCAAATAATGGTACAAATCGTACGGATATTCCATTAAGTGTTACATTAGAACAATTTTATGCACTTGTTCATCAACTTGAAAAAGCTAAACTTGAAATGGATGTTTATACTTAAAAAATTCAAATAAAAATCTTCTTTTCTTTTTATCTATTTATTTTCCAACGAGCATCTTGTTTTGTTTGTTTTTTTTTCTTACAATTGCATCACATAAGAGACAGAGAAGAAAAAAAGAGAAGAGAAGAGTAAGAACAAAAAAAGAACAAAAAGAAAATGAAACGATAAACAAAGGTAAAGAAAGAAAGAAAAAGATGAAATATAGTCTCACTGTGCTGTATTTTGCTTTCTATTGAAAATATGTATGAAACAATGACTAAGCACGTTTACGTTGTACAAAATCGTTTAATTTAGTACAAGACGGTGTCCCTTGTTTTTGAGCTTGACGATATAAATCATTATCATTCATCATTCGTGCACGCCACATCATTGACTCTTTATATTGTTGTTCACGATAACATTGATGCCGTAAATCAGATTCATATTCATCAATAACTGATGATTCAAATTTATCTAATTCAGAATTTGTTTTTGGCGGACGAAAATCTGGTTTGACAAAATATTCAACATGGGTTAAACGAGTTGAACGTGCAGTAGTATATTTTCTATTTTGAATAGAAAAAGAAAATTGAAAGAATTTCATTTTAAAAATAGAATATTATAATACCCAGTACGATGCAATTGAAATTGAGGTTCACTCACTAAAAATGTACCAATAATTGAAATAAGAAATAGAAATAAATAAGGCAATAATTGTGCAAGTGTATGTGTAGTCTAAAATTGAAAAATATATCTTTTTTTTGTTTAAAAATATATAAATAACAAACAGTTTGTGTTTGATTATGTGTTGAATGTGTTGTAAAATGAAATGGGCTCTGTTGTTGTTGACGACGACGATATTGACGCGTTGATGTTCCTAAAATATACATGGTGGGTTTAAACAGAGAATTAAATATCAATCAATTATATAATTCACAAAGGAATTTCCCTCCCTATGGTAAAAAACTGTTGACATAAAAATTACATTATTGAATAAAATCTGATGAGAATAAAAAAAACTTGAAATAATTTTTTATTTCGACTTATGACTGTTTTAATCGATCTTTGAAATATCAATTTAAATGATCATAAATCAAAAATAAAGTAGAATAAGAAACGAATTTTTTGAAGTTTTATTTATTCTTATTCCACAGAGATATAAAGTAAACGTATTCAGATCTCAATGCAATAAACAATAAAAAAATTTTCCTTTTCGTTAGTATCAGTTACAAGTCAGAATGAACATAAAACAAATCTCTCGACAATACTAATAATTAGTACTTTGAGACTTTCAGCAATCAAAACTATAACGATTCTCTCTATTTAATTCTAATGTTGACATATACTGTCAATTAATATATGATAAAATTTTTGAAAGATCATACCTGAATATCCAAAGAATAGATTGAAAATTTCTTCAGCTGAAAAGTCATCATCATCTTCATAGTAATAATATTGCTGTCCACCACCACGACTACCACCATTACTAGTACGATGATATTGTGGTTCCATAGCATGCCCATATTGATCGTATTGTTCACGTTTTTTAGGATCACTTAAAATTGAAAAAGCTTTACCAATAGCTGTTATGAAAAAAAAATAACAAACAAATATTAAAAAAACAACTAAATTGAAACCATTAAGATCAATAACCTTTAAAAGCATCCGTAGCACCTGGTGCTTTACATTTATCTGGATGAAACTAAACAAAAAAAACAAAAAATAGAATTTTGAAAAACAATTCATTTCTTTAACTTACTTGAAGAGCTAATTTACGGTAAGCTTTTTTCAAATCAGCTTCAGATGCTGATTTATTAACACCGAGAATTTCATATAAATCTTTACATGTTTTAACTCTAATAAATAAAATATTTGAAAAAAATGCATATTTCTTTAGATTAATATTCTTACTTTCGCACAGCGTCAGCTTCTTCTGAAGTATAATCATTAGATGATGTTGAATGTGTATTCGTTGTTGTTCTTTGTCTTGGATTTGATGAAGCACCATTCGTTGTTGTTTGTTCATGATTTGAAAATGCTGATCCAGATTCATGAGTTTTTGTATTGTTGTTATTATTATTTGATGATGTCGAATGAGAGTTAGTATGCATTAGTCGTTCAATGAGATCTAATTGTTTTCAAAAAAAAAAAAGACAAATTCATTTATTAAATAAATTAAAACAAAAGAACCTTTCGCTTTTTGTGTTGGAAAAAGATTTTCAGATTTTGTAAGATATCGAAGTGCACGTTCATTATCATTTGAAAGTATTGCGTTTTCAGCAAGTTCAATATAATGAAATGCTGAGTCTTTATTTGCTTCCATTGATTAGATAGTAAGAAAATACAGATAGATAGATAGATAAATAAATAGGAACAAAATTAATTCGTGTAAATCAATGTAATAAACAACGACATTGAAAATAGGACAATAATACACAAGACAAACAAGAAACAAAATAAGATAGCTAGATTGATGTTAACCAAGGCCAAATCTTAATAGTTGATGTTACGAACACTTGTTATAGATATCGAAAACAAAAATGTAATATAAGTTAGAAGATGTTTTAAAAAGGAAGAATATACGAATTATGTCATTGACTAATTCAATGAGTGTGAGTGCACTGATAAACACGCAGAGAACAATCGGGTCATCATTTCCATTTCTAAATAACAAAGGTCTCTGTTGCTTTTTCTGATTGGATAGAATATATAGCTTGTTACGTACGGTTTTGACATTCGAACGATGTCACTACGAAACATAAATCTATCAAAATGATTTATCAGAAATATATCATACATAGTTCAGTAAAACATACTTGAAAATAAAATCTAAAAAAATATTGTACAAAAACCAGTTTTTTTTCATTGGTGTTCGAATTTTGATAAACTTAAATATTGAATTATATAATGAAGCCATTAAAAAAACAAATTTGAATTCATAACAATTCAATAAGAAATAAATCTAAAAGAAAAAAAATTCAATGGGTGGTACTTCGAGCACTTCTAAAACTCCTGCAGCTTCTTTGACTACGCCTAGTGTTGCACCTGCTACTCCTGTTACTCTTGTTGATTCTATCAATACTACTATTGCTTCTACTTCTACACCTACTACCAAAACTACGACTACAGTCACTTCTTCTACTGCTACTTCGACTATTAATAATACGAATACGACACCTACCACTACCATTGTAACTTCAACGACTCCTACTCCTCCAGCTGTTACTAAAGTGCCTTCAACTATTACTACAGTTCCTTCAACGACTTCTGTAACGACTACAGGTTTGTACTAAATACTATAGTAATAATGCATTTGTAATATATATAAATAATTTTTTTTGTAAAGATACTATCAAGCCTACATTCTATTCGATTGCACAATCTTTAATTACTGATGCTAATGCTGATGCTGATGTTGATAAACCAAAGTCAATTGTAAAATCAGCTGCTGCACGTTGGTATAATTGGACAAAAGATGAACAACAAACACGAGAAAAAGGTAAAATACTATGGTATATGAAACCACCAGTTACAACTACAGATATATCTACTACAATGACAACAACATTAACAACAACAACAGCAAATATTAATAATGATCAAAAAGAAACATCTGATGAAACAAACGTTATTGCTATGCCAAGCTTTCATTTACGTTCGACAGCTATATATAGTCCACCACATGGTGATCGTGTTCTATCAGGACGTCGTGAATTAACTAATACTGATATATCAAATTATAAATATTATCGTCCCGATGATCGATCAAACCAGTCGGTAAGAAATCAATCTTAAAATCTAATTTTAAAATAATAATAGAAAATTAAATATTGTATATTGTAGGCTGGTATTCATACTAGAGCAACTATGTATAGAATGAATACTCTTATAAAAGAAACTCCTTTACCAATTCAATCAACTGTATTGGCGACTACAAGTCCTATTGATAGCACCATTGTAACACAAACTACATCATCGTCATCATCACCATTACGTACATTTGTCTCTCGTGGTCTACAGACTGATCTTGTGGCACAACCAATCGATCCATCGTCTTCACAAATGCGTTATTATGAAAAACAACAATCTCAAGTGAGAATATCTTAATTACCGGTTTTCTTTTTAGAATTCTACTTTATTTTTAACCAGATACAGATGAATCTATAAATAATATTTCGTATTTCAAAAAAATCTAAAGAAGAAACAATGGATAATTATTCTTTTACGAGCAATAAAACACTAAAAATTGAAACTTTCTTGAATTTTTCTCCCCTACTTGTTTAACCTATTCTGAATTGATTGAGCACGCAGAGAAAATAGTAACATCAAAGTTTGATTAGCGAATATTTTTACGAGAATTAATAATTCAGTTATTATGAATTAGAAGTAAAAAAGACTGATATCAACTATTTTGTTGTATCTTACATATAGAATACATAATTTCATATTTTACTATACTCTATTTATAATTGTGATATATGTTCTTTGACAACGATGTCATTCTTTATTTGTTACTCAGTATATTATTTCTATTCTTTTCCTTTCTATACAGATCGTACCTGTAACAGCCTTTTCAAATAACAATTCCAATCAAAATGCTTTTTATTATTTAACATCAAATGATACAAAAACTGAACCAGTTCTTCCACCTATTGGGAAAACACCCGTATGGTATGGTGATCAACCAGCACAATCATATCCTAATTCTGCATCATTACCGCTATCACCAACATCAATTTTAAAAAAATCATCAACAGTATTATCTCAAGATGTATCTAATCCTCTTTCCGAGCAGACACATCATAAAGTACTTGAACAATTACGTAAACATAATAAAAATACAAAAGATGGAATATATCGTGTAAAAAAAATTCATCTTGTAGAAAAAAATGAACAACCATCAACTGTAACAAATAATCTTCCAACAACAACAACAACAAAAGCTAGTCAAAGTATATTAAGAAGTAAAAAATTATTTTTTTAGTCAATTATTTAATCGAAAAAAAATAGACAATGACATAAACGCACACGCACACACACACATGAAAAGAAAACAAGAAGAAAAATGAAAAGAATTGTTTTGTTGTATTTTTATTTTTATTTTTTTTATGAATAAAAGTCATAATTTGTTGAACAATCATTATGAATCGTTGATAATTTATTAATACCATTTGTTGGATTATAGGTAAAATAAGATGATAAATTATCAATTGTTTCATGTGGAACAGTTTGGGGTGGTGTTGATGATATCATACCATTGGGATCAAATGATGGAAATGTATAATGATTTGATGTATTATAAAATGAATGTCTTGCCCAATAAGGATTATTTGCATTTAATTTTGTATCATTTGTCGGATAAAGATTGGTTGTTGATGATGACGATGATGGTGTTGCATAGGGTGAAAATGAACTTGGAAATGTATTGGGATAAAATGTTGACGGATAGAAAGGTACATAATTCTCATCAGATCTTATTTGTGGTTTTATTTTATTGGTTGATGAAGATGAAAAAGCTGAATTTGATGATGAGGAGGATGATTTATTTGTTGATATTGGAACTTTTGGTGATATTAATGGTGTATTTGGTGTACCTTTTGTTATATGTCCATTTCGTGTTATAAATGGATAAAGTGTTTGAGGATCACATACAAAACGATAAACATAACGTTCACCAGCAACTTTTTGCATAATACCTTTTTCATAATAATAACGAAGTGATCGAGATAATTTGTCATAATTCATTGATGGACGATTTTTTTGTACACCCCATAAACGTGCTACCTGAAAAAAAAGAAATTTTTTTTTTTTGTTCTACAATATAAATCTATTTGTAATCATTTACTTCTTCGGGTTCAACTAATTTAAATTCTAGACCTTTTCCTGTCCAAATAATAATTGTACCATTAAGACCATCATCAAGTAATGCTAATAGAAATTGCCATAATTGTACTGACCCGCGGCGACAATATAATTGAGAATCACGAATAGATTTCCATCGATGTTCTAAAAAAAGAATGTTTTTATTTTTTTTGTTATCAATTGATTTCGGGTTCTCTTCAATTTACCTCCACGATTACGATGTTGTTCACTACCGGTTCCACACGACATTATAGTAGTAGTAGTGCTATTTAATGGAAAAAAGAAAAAAATTCAAAATGATTTTATGTTTCAGATTTTTCTTTTTTTTGTATAATAAAGGCACTCATCTTAATTATCGTGTCTTCTTGCCTGAACTTCTATACTCGTTATTAGAATTGAAATATAAGAATAATAGTAATAGCAATCTTTTTTTTTCTGATGTGCACAAGTCAATTAGACATTTCATTCTTCTTTCTATGTCATAGAGAAAAAAAGCTCAGAATGAGGTCTTCTTTTTTTTTTACTTCTCTCGTCATTAGTCAAATACTATACAATATAACACACACACACATAGGTGTTATATCAAATACTTACTCGATCATTAAAATGATTATCTATTCTTGTTCAATATGAAGAGAAAAATATTTCGAAATGATTCTATTATTTGTTTGTATAATTCTTTCTCTCTGTCTTCCTTTTGTGAAAACCAGAAACATAACTTCAATCATTCTAATAGATCACTCACGTGCACAAATCAATCATTCTCTCTTTTCTAAAGAACAGATCATCATCATCAACTATAATGTACAAAAAGAACATTATAGAAAATCAATAGGTTGTTTCTCACTTTTCTCTACTAATACATTGGACATGACATGTCACAAATTCTATAAGATCTATTCAGAAGTTAATCATCATAGAATTGATTAGAATACAGAAGAAAAAGAAAAAGAAACGTCCGATATTGATTATCAACCGGATATGGAAGTCGATGTTCAAGATGAAGATCCACTTTTTGGACGATATCATATCATGTCATTGATAAAGTTAACAATCATTAATAAATATAATAACTTACCCTTGAGCGTTTAGTTGTCAGCAATGATTAGCCGACAATAGTTAGTCACTTTACAGTTCAGACAGGTGTATGTGATGATGATGATATGTGCTTTCCTTTTTGATTTCACCCTTTGAATATGAAGAAAAGTGAGACACTTGAACGCGACCAAATGCTAAGTCTTGTATATTTTTTTTGAATGAACTAAATCTCTGATCATCTCATAATTAGAAGAGAAAAAAGAGTATTATCATATATAGAATAAATTTCTTCTTGTTGAAAAAAGAAACATGAACCAATCGGAATAAAATTATGTTTTATTTCTATAACCAATGATAATCAAGACAAAAAAAAGAAAAAGAAACGACTTCTATTTAAAATCAACAGGAATCTACAATTAATCATTTTTTATGCAATGTCATTTCACTGTTTTTTTCTTTCACGATGAGAATTGATATGAATCTTTAGTTATAATATCTTTATGGAAAAATAAGAATGTTTTATCTTGTTCTTCATTCAAATTAATGTAATAAATTTTTTGAAGAAGTTCGATCGCTGTTGGATACCATCAATAGTTACAAGTTGATTGGTTTGATAAAAGATTTTCATTGTTATGAAATTAGAAACGATCATTTATTGACATTCATCTAATTTAAATGAACTAAATAATATCGATATTTATCATTAAGTAGAATAATAAAAAAAAAGAAAATTTCGAAATATATTTTTTAATGCTTTTTTTTTGTTATATTAGACTTTTTATTATATATACTATTTATAGAAAATTAATTTGAAACTTTGAAAAACAAACGGCATAGAAAAGACTAATGAAGCTATTTTGGATATGAAAAGAAAAATGAATATGAATTTTATTACCGAAAATCTAAAGATATTTACTTATTATTACCAACAATTAATCAGAAGACAGCGATCATGTACTTTTACTATATACGCAGTGCACACGCAGCAATACTGAATATTTTAGAGTTATAACGTGATACTTGAGGGCATTAAGTATCGATTTCAAATGATAAGAGAATATACCAATTCATTTTAAAAGTTTATTAAATCATTTACAAAATACCAATCAACAGACTATTGTGCTAACTTTTTACGATGATTTTAATCCACTGATTTTTTCCAAAAAAAATAACGCTGTTCCAAAAAAACTAATTATTAATATTTGTTTAACTTTTTTTTGCACAGATACTAGCTGCTTAATATTTAGATATACACAGTTTAAACGATCTGCAATTTTTCTCTCTTCGTTTCATTAGCTCACACTATATAAATAACCGAAGAAAAAAAATCAATTTTAATTATGTAATAGAAAAGAGTTTTATAAGAAAAATGCAAATTCTTCTTCCATATAATAACTATTTTTTTTTTCTCGTAATATTGTGATTTTGACATATGGCCATGATTAATACCAAAATAATGTAAAAAGATAAGAAAGAATAGAATTAACAGGAACAAGTTTAGCTAAATTTTGAAGCACAAATAAAGCGTTTCAGACACACATCCTTGTAACTTTATTAAAAGTCGTTAATCAGTTACTAAGTCATTATAAAAAGTGAATGTTTCGCTTTCAAAATATAATACAAAGACAAAGGTTATCATCGAACATCTTACTCATTAGATTAATTCGATTTCTAAATCTGAATATCAATATACTACGATTTAATTTGAAGACTATGTATACAAATGATGTTTATAATTTCCACATAGAAGACTACAATCTATATGAAAATCATGAAACTGCTGTTGATTTTTGTGAACTATTTAGCTTTGATAAATGAATGACTAGGATTGTGCACAGATATCAAAATGATATTTCGAAAGTTTATTACAACACAAAATCCTTCAATACATTTATTGCTTTTGTATGAATAAAGAGTAAAAACTTGTTATTTATTTTATGATTGTTGAATGTAATTTATAATGAATTTCTTGTGAAGTTTGCTTTAGAAATTATTTTGAATTGTATTAAGTCAGTCCTTCCATATATTAAAGATATTAACTACTTTGCAGATAGTAATAATTCTCAGTTTATCACGAAAAATATGTTGTTGATGACATTAATGGTTATGTAAACGGTCACATGTGATTAGCTATATTAGCAAAAGAAATGTATTAGTCAGCTGATGATTTTCTTTTACTTGAGAAATGAAGAAAACAACTATTATTGAAATAACATAGATAGCTCATAAACTGAGTTTGAAAATGTGTTTCAGAAACACAGAAAATGCATTTAGTTAAAGTAATTAGTAAAAATAAATTCTAATTTTATTATCATTCTTCATACTCTAAAGAAAAAATCATAACAGATTGAAAGCAGATGTTTATAGTTCTTTTGCTTCACTTAATTTTCCGTCTTATGTATATTTAGGTAGTTGATCTAACTTAGAAAAATGCTTTCTCTAAGCAGTTTTATTGTTTCACATTACAAAAGTACTCAATTCCAAGGAAGTCGGATCTTCATCTCAAACTAGGAGTATACTAGCATTTACATTCTGTTAGCTGAGAGCCACTAAATACGTTTCGAACTTATACTTCCATAAACTGGCTGAGGTCTCCTTCAGGTAAATTTTGGTAAAATGTTTTTTTGCGTCAAAAATAAATATATGTTTTTTAGTGTATTTTTTTGCACTGTTTTTGAATATGATATTAGTTTTTTGACCGTAGCAATTCATAATGATGAAAACTGCCAGATACAACCTTTTCTAAGGTAAAGTCTATTGAAAAAGACTGGAAAATTGTTGAAAAAACTTTATTAGAAGAAATTCAAATAAACAAACTTTTTCTGATGTGAGTCGGTACATTCGGATGTGCTCTTTCAAATGAGACTACTTTCGAATGGGTCTAGTATGCTGATGTGACTAAGTGACCATGCATAGTTGGACACATTTTCTAAAAATGGTATATAGTACGACACAGCAAATATTTTAGAAAAGAGGACTTTCAATACCACCAAAAGATAGCCCATCCTCGATAGTATTTGTAGTAAAAAAATCTCTTTTCTAACTTTTACCATTGTTGAGAAAATGAAAATTTAGTGAGACGAGTTGCCCTAAAAAAGTCTTCAAATATACCTGACCTCCCGTAGCTTGATCCCGGTATATCTCAGGAATGGCCCGGCCGTTTGAGCTAAAATTTTCAGATTATTCCTAAAACACTTATGCCTAACTACTATAAAAAATATCAGCCAAATCGGTGAGATTCGTTGAGCAACATTGGTCGTGGCTTATGTGCAATGCCTCCTAGGACTCTTCTCTGCAAAACAAAAAATGTTCTTTTGACTTTGACACACACACACACACAAACTATTTTTTTGCGTATGATCCTCCTTTCAGTCGAGAGAACTAATGTTTTCTATATATTCGATACTTTAAAACTTAGTTTATATCTTTTCTCTTTATACGATAATTCTATAGATAAAATAAGAGGATATATTACTGATATCTGGCCTGGATCGATACATATATTTATGTAGAAAAGTATATAGTCGTCCGACTAACTATCAGAAGAAAAAGAAATATATATACGTAAAGATATCGAAACATGTTTAATTATTTGTTTAGATACATATGTATATACCAAGTGAAAAGTTATTTTAAAATTAAATATATTTTTGAAACTCATTTTTTTCATTTCAGATTTTTACTTCAAGTTATTATAATCGTTTCGGATTATAACTTCAAGTGATTATACTCTTTTAAAAAATGTCCAACGATAAAGATTTAATTAATAAAATGGAATTGAATTATAGTCATGTAAGTAGAAAACAATGATGACAAAGCATTATTCTTTTCTTTTTCTTATAATTTATTGACACGATTAATATATTATTTGATGATATTTATCGACGAAAACAAGCTGAGTTATATAAATTACAATATGAAGCAGATTTATGTAAATCAACAACAGATGAACAAACAACCAAAATTAATGAGAGCATTAAATTAGCTAATATAGAAATCGCCATCTAGAGGGTGTGGGTGGGTGTGGGTATGAGCAGTGTGCTGTAAACCCACACCCACACCCTCAAGAAAAGGCTGAGCAGCGATAACTAAATAGTCAAGTTCAATCTCATTAATTTCATTTCGTCTGCACACTAATAATTATTCAATTACTATAATATCATCAATTTTTTTGAAAAGTAATTCTAGTCATTCTATTTTTATTGTTAAATTGGTTATATAAAATACTAACAATTTTATTTATTTTTTGTCAAAATAAAAGAATAATATATTTATTTCTAAATTACAACATGTTTATTGATCGTGACTCATACGCTATGAATATTTCGTAAGAATAAATAAAAATATTTCATTTTCAAATAAATTATGGAATAATAGTTTTTCGTTCAATTATATTGCTAATAAAATTCCTCAGCTGATGAATCCAAAACTTTTCTATGTTAAGAATATATTTAAATACTAGACAATAGTTTGCTGTTGTTTTTAATAATGATTTTCATTTAACTTTTTCATTCGTACAATTACTTCAGATAAAATTTCTGTGATCGATTCCTAGAAAATAGAAAATATTAAGTTTTGATGAGAGAGATTGCAGTTCTCAAGTGATAAAATATACTGGAACAGCACCTTGGAAATTATATGCAACCGATATAGATAACTATACAACGAATAAATAGAGTACCATAATGTACAAGAAAAAAAAGGTACAATAGTGTTACGTTTTGTTTTTCCACACGGACAAAGCATAGTTAGAAGGAAACCTTTATTACTCTTGGAAAGCTCGTTTACTGTGAAAAAAAATTTCATTTAAATAAAGATTTTTATAGAAAATTGAAGCGTAAAGAGAAATAGATCCACTTAAGGATTCTTTTTGTAACGATGTACTGCGATAGAAATATCTTTCTAACAAGTGGAGACTTTAATGGAAAACACTCATTTATATTGTATAAATAGAACAAGAAAATATACATCGAATAGCGATTAAACCAAGTTTCTTATCTTCATAGTTTTTGAGATAATTGAAAAATATTGCGTCAAAAAAAGGAAAAGCGTTACATTTGAACAAGTCTGCATACATACAGAATATATTTTTTCAAATATAGTATTTGCATCCTAAAACTTGAGTATATTTAATTGAAATCTTCTTATTATAGTTTTCTATAAAAACTGCTGTAAAAGGGATTTAACTAAATAGATTCTATTTTTAGGATTCAAACAATACATTTGAAAAAATACAAATAACTTTGATAGGTATTAACATAATACTTATACTAATGCTAAAGTATTAAATTAGTTTTTTTAAACCCTAATACAATGCTAATACTATTAGCCTATATTTCTAATTAATAATAAAGGTCACTAAAATAATAATAGAGTAAAGATTAGTTGACATGAACAAAAAATAAAATTCATACATAGCTGTTCATCAAATAAGTGTGTAAAAAAACCCGGTAAATATATAGCAGTAATTGAAATGTTATGAGAGAATCAAAAGAGCGAAAGAAAATTAAATAAATCGTTAAATATTAATGAAATAGGAAAATACTAGTGATTCTGGTTATTAATAATATATTATTAGATCAATAATGAACGTTATTGACTGTGCAATTAGATAGAAAAAAATAACTGTTGTATATAATTTACTTTATCGTAATGATAAAAAACTGTTTTAAAGAATAATGAAGCAATCAACAATTACAAGCGTAGAAAACCGGCATACGATGAAATTTCTATTCTTTTTTTCTTTAAAATATTTAACAATAGATAATTTATTTATTTGCGAATACAAATCTTAGAATTATATTTTGAAATTAACAACATCTAGTAAAGAATAAATTTTAAAAATCAATTGAAATACTAATTTATATACAATGATTTAAATCAGCTATGTGTTTAATCGATGACAATAAATTTAATCTGATATACTAATTTAAAATTCGCCCTCTATAGACCTCTGTCGGCAAGTAACAGAAGTGGCTCTATATTCATCATATGTTGTGTTGTGTTGGGTGTATCATTAACGATGAAGTAATCAACATAGTTTTACTTACATGCGTCGTTTAAAATAAAATTTACTATATTAAAATCAATACTTAGCAATATGTTATGCAATAATAAACATTGTTATCGATTAATAGGAAAAGTTTCCTATCAATCTCAACGTTTATTTACTCAAACTCGTCAATTAAAAGATTTAGAACAGATTTATGAATTACTTAAAGAAGAATCATTATGTAAAATACAGATTTTTTTCAAAAATAAAAATATTTTCGATTTTTTTGTAGCTTCACAATCATCATATTCAGAACATATGAATCCAGCTGGAATATTTGCTAATAATGAATTAGATTTACATAAAATAAAAGTCTATGGTTTTGATTTCGGTTCGTTTTTTTTATTTTAAAATTTTAAAAATAATTTCTCTTTTTAAATAGATTATACATTAGCAAGATATAAATCAACGTTACATTCCTTAATTTATGATCATACAAAAGCGTATCTTGTGAAAAATTTAAGAGTAAAACTAATTTTTATTTTTAATTTAAATATCATATTTATCTGTGTTATTTTCAAATAAAGTATCCTGAGCAAATAAAGGATTTTTGTTTTCGACCTGGTATGGGTGCACGTGGTCTTCATTTAGATATAAAACGTGGATGGTTAATGAAAGTTGATAGTTATCATAATATTCAATTAGGAACTGTTTATCAGTAAATCGAATTTAATATTTAAAATTTGTATTTTTTTCTTTTCTAAAGTGGTATGCGACAAGTAAGCGATCAAGAAGTTATCGATGCACATCATGGTACAAAATTATCTGTTGAGGAAGTTGGTTATCTTGGTATGACATCAAATATGTTTCAATATGTTGATATATTTACGATACCAGAAATCACCATCTTACGAGATGTAATACAGGTATAGAGAAAAGATATTAGAAAAACTATTGATTTGAAATAATTAATGATTGATTATTTAGTTTTTTATTGATAATAGTATTCCATTTGCTGCTGAATATGTACATTATGATGTTCGAGTATGTATTTAAAGAAAATAAGACTTAATAAAAATTGATTTCTTTTGATAAAATATAAAGGAAGCTGTTGGTGCTTTTCATAAAAGTGGTATAATGCATCAATTAGTTGGACAAGATGCAGGTAAAGTATTTCATACTAGATATTGATTGAATATTAAAGTAATTATTTTTTATTTAGAAACTTATTTTGAAGAAAATTCTCGTTTAAGACCGTTTTTACAACGACTTCGTGATGCTAATAAGCAATTATTTTTAATAACAAATAGTGCCTATTGGTATGTTAATCGTGGTATGACATCTTTACTTGGAGCGAAATGGCAAGATTTCTTTGATATTGTCATATGTCAAGCTAGAAAACCATCATTTTTTGGTGCACTCAAAAGGTTTTTATAAATCATTATCTTATGGCATGAACTAATTTATTCAAAAATATATATTATTTAGACCATTTAGAGAAATAAATATTAATAATAATTCGAAATCTTGGGATCGTGTTTCGAAATTAGAAAAAGGAAAAGTCTACGTTGAAGTAAAATAAAATCTTCCTAAGAAAAATAGGACTTTTATATAATTGTTTTATTTAAAGGGTAATCTTACAACTCTTGCTGAAATAACACATTGGCAAGGTCATGATGTACTTTATATTGGTGATCATATTTATGGTGATTTAGCAGTATGTATATTTATATTTTCGAATATAGTTATACGGAAATATTTGTTTTTCTTAGGATTTATTTTTAACACATGGATGGAGAACAGGTGCAATATTAGAAGAAGTTGAAGTAAGTTTTTTTTGTTATTTAATAATAGATAAAAATTTATAATTACTTCAAAGGACGAAATTAATATTATTAATTCTGAAACATTCCAAAAAACTATGCGATGGGTAAATATTCACTTTCTTTTCGAATAAAAAATTATCGAATTTTTTTTATTTATATAGCTAAATGTTCTTCAATGGTTAATTGATCAATTACAAGTAAGTTATCTAATTAAAATATAAGAAACTATTTCGAAACTTCTAATTATATTTCTCTATTATTTTATCTTATTAAACTAAATCATTTTCCTGAGTTATACGGACTCTAGCGGCTTTTCTGTTAAAAGTAAACTTAATAATCGTCAGTACCTTCATTATGATATGAGATATCGAATAGAAGAAAATCATCTCGAAGAAGTTAGTCAGATTAAAATAATTATCTTTATTCTGAATATTTTCATATATCTGACATTATCAATCAATAGATATTACAAATGGATGATTTGTAAAAGTAAAAAAAGGAAATTCTGCTGATTATATAAATAATAACTGGTAAACAATATTGTGGCTTGACATTCCTAATTCCACTAATCCTATTTCTCATACTATCATTAGTAAAAGCTATTTTAGTATAAAATTTCACTTGATAACTAATAATATTCACATTAGAAATTTGGAATAATAAATATTTTATTTATTAAAAAAATGTTTACTTGCAGATCATTCCTGGTCCTGAAGCTGATATTCTAATGAAAAGTTGGGTTGCTGAACGTGAAGAAGAAAGGTAAAAATAATCTAAAACTACATATTTATTTAAATATTTTCGATTTATTTCTAGAACAAAATCTCGTGATTATTTTAATCCTTATTTTGGTTCTATATTTCGTACATATACAGTACCAACATATTTTCATCGACGTTTAGCACGTTTTGCTGATGTTTATACATCAAATGTTTGTAATTTTCTCAATTATCCAGTAAATAATCAAAAAATATTTTTTTTATTAAACAAATTATAAATAAATTTTTTTCTAGCTTGATTATATATTTTTTCCACGTCGTATGGCATTAGCACATGAAAATGTGTTACCGACACCTGATATTGATTTATTATTGATGAAAACTGCTCAAGAAGCTATGCGTTTCGAAACCAAACTTTAAAAAAACTGATTCCAAATTTGTATTTACACTAGCATTCTATTATATTTTTTCTTTTTGTTGTTATTGATATTGTCGTTTTTATTTTTTGTATACTGTGTTAAAACGATTAACATAATAGATATAGATTTTTAGATAATACGATAATTCTCTTTTTTTACAACAAAATAAAAGAAAAACGATGTACGGAATATTATTCGATCTTGATGGTACATTAGTAGATTCAGATCCAATACATTTTGAAGCATGGCAAAAAATTCTTGCAGAAATAAATGTCAATGAAGCTTTAATTGATCGAGAATTTTTTGATAAACATATATCTGGTAGAATTTGGAATTTTTTTTTTCTTAATACTATCTATATATATATATAATGTAGGTCGATTAAATGCAGATATAACTCGTGAATTTTTTCCAGAATTATCCGAAGAAGAACAAGAAAAAATGGCTACTAAGAAAGAATTATTATTCCGTCAATTAGCCAAAGAGAAACTTCAACCAACAAGAGGTCTTGATAAAATACTTAAATATATCGAACAAAATCGATCAAAATTAAAAATCGGTTAAATATAAAATAACAAAATTCTAATTGAAATGCATATTTTTATTTCAAGGTCTAGCAACAAATGCTCCTCGTTTAATTGTTGATTTTGAATTAGGTGTAGTAAATCTTGATGAAAAAAAATTCTTTGATGCTGCTCTTATTGCTGAAGAATTCGGTATTGGTAAGTTTAAGATTGTAATTATATCTCTATATTTATTCTTTCTATTGTCAAATAAAGGTAAACCAAAACCAGATATTTATTTAGAATTAGCACGACGTTTAAATGTTGATAAAAATTCATGTATTATCTTTGAAGATTCCATCTCAGGTGTTCAAGCTGGTGTTGCTGCTAATATAAAAACTATTGGTGTATTAACATCCGCAAAAAAAGAAACATTAGAAAAACTTGGAACATGGAGAACAGTAAAAGATTTTCAAGAAATTGATCTTGATGAAATTTGGAATGCAATTGAGAATTGAAATAGTTTATTTTGAAAACAAACAATATCAATCAGAAAAAATTCACTAAGTTTTATTGCTTCCCCTTTTTTTTTTGTATTATTTATTATTCGATTTTATATGTAATCAATATCGAATAATACATATCATCAGAATATATACCCATAACTACACATTTTGTAGCATGATCAGATATTACAGTTGGAATTTCAAGTTTATAAATGTCATTTTGATAAGATCTCCCTTTAATTAATGTTTGTTCATCAATTTGTAATTGTACATCATGAACATTAGGTGCACGAATAATAATATGAGATGGTAAATTTTTTCGTGAAAGAATACCATTCATTGGTGTTATTAATTCACATCGAAGTCTATTGAATATATTAGTTGTAATTGGATAAGATTTTGATTCAGTTTTCTGTTCAATATATATGTCAAATCGAACAGCAGTCAACCATTGCTCATCTTTTTCATTGTCTAAAGCCCAAATAAAAAGACGATGATGTCCAATTGTAGATGGCGAATGAAAACATTCCCATAAACGTGTACTATGATTATAATGAGTTAAACATGTACCAGGATTTTCATTTATTTCAAGATGATCAACAGTCATTTGAAGACGTATACGATCTGGTGCACGAAAAATGAATTTATTTGGAATAGTTGATATAATGTCAAGTGAATATGTATGAAAGGGTGGCCAAAAACGCATATTATTGTTGTTGTTTTTTATTGTATTTGAAATATTGACGATAAAAAATTCTTGTAATTTGATTTAGTAACTCAAGTGAGCTTTGTCAATGTTGTATTTATATGAATCTATTTGTTAACCGATGAAGAGCAGAAGACGAAGAAGAAGAAGAGAAAAAGAAGAAAAGGAGCAAAAACAACATTAACAACTTTTTTTGCAATATTATCCATTTGCATTAGAAATCAGTTTTTTCTTCTTCATTCAAGTGAAAAGTCAAAAATAAATGCTTTTAACGTCATTTACACAATATTTTCTCTTATTTATAAAATTCAATTATGTATATTAAAAAATCTCATTTTCTTAAAAGTCATTTGATTTGTTGTTATTTTTACTATGAAATTATTAATCTATATAGAGAAATTTTCAGCCACTTGATTATAAGAAAGAAAAGAAACAAAATTGTCATAATAATAACTAAGAGATATTATTGTATTAAACTTGAGTAGTTTATTTGCAATAAAGAAAAACTTCTTATAGAAAAGACAATAGTCAAAAGACTGAGTGAAAGTAAATAGGAAACATATTTTCCTAACAATTGACCTTGCACTTGTTAAATAGATCATGAGTGTCTATTTTTCAGTTATATCTGACCATATAGAATTGTTTTATTAGATTAGCATTTCGAGAATAAATGAACAAAATTTATATAGATTTATAACAACAAAAAACGACTGATTTATATCATTGAATCTAACCGATTAGAAGGATTCAATCGAATTCCCTTAGGCCTTTTCAATATAATAAGAAAAAGAAAATGCCAATTATGAGTTTTTTTTTCTCTTTCTTTGCTCGACTGTTTTGTCCTTTGTCTTATTGTTCGTTCTTCTTTCTCTTTCCTTCTTTTACTATAATTACATATGATTTTTTTATCATCATGTTTCTTCTTGGGTCATCGAACACATAGTGTCGATCAAAACAAAAGACTTCGATTTTTTTTTTCTTTTCAATCATACTTATATTCAAAATATTGAATAGAAAATCTTAATACAATGATATTGACTTTTTTTTTGTTAGATGAAATTTGTTGCTCACCGTCAAGGACAACAAAAAAAGAAAGAAGCATAACCGATAAATGGTTTCGATTATATATATATATATATATATTTATGTTGTTATTTTCGACAGACTGTTAAGACACTCAATTGTCAATAAGCCGATTAGAATTTCGAACGACACACTATGCTTTCGCTTCCGCTTGGCAGCAAATCTGGTCCGTTTCAAAAATTCTATTAGACACATCCTTATCGTTCTTTTGCCTTAACAATATATATTGTCAAGGTCTGGACAACACATAAAAAAAATGGAAAAAAAATGACGCTAAATCTTAGCATCATCAACTATGAAGAAGACAGAGGGAGAATAAATGATGTAGATTATAAAACGACAAAGACGCAAACTAATGATGCAATCACTCGTGCCGCCCAGTGATCAGAGAGCTTACCCTAGGGATAAATATAAGGCTAACTATAACAGTCAAGCAAGACAGTAGAAAAAAAAAATGAATTCTCAAAAGAACATTTCATATTGATTGATTATAGAAGAATAAAGACAAGAAATGAAAGATATAACCTTGATGCAGTCAATCATAATTTATAAGTTTTTTTTTCACCCTTGATGATTTTAATTCAATAGTAAATAGATAGGGGGCATAGTAACTGACTATGTATCATTCTATTCTATTCTTTCTTTCTTTTTTTTTATTTCTTCTGTCTTCAAGCAATACTTTGATGATATCTTATATTTATTTGATAGTAAGTGAGCTTTTCCTCGAGGGGTGAACACCAACAATGATGATTGACAAGTATGTCTTTCACTTCTTCTTCTTCTTAAGATTTACTATATAAAAAAAAAAAGATTGAACGCATGATAATCAAGGTCATTCACATGTGGAATAAATGTCTATAGCCGAGAATAACAAAAAAACCATATTGTCTTCTTGTGATTTTCCGCATTATTACACAATTGATCACTGAATGTCGATGTCTATATATCGTTCTATATTTCCTATGTTTCAATTTATATTTATTTATGTGCTCATATTCATGTCTTTATTTTTTCATCATCATCATCACTCTGATCCTTTTTTTTCTTTCTTCTTCTGTTTCTTTTTTTTTTGCCTTTTTAAAGAGAATCAGAACACTGAGAGAGAGAGAGACAGAGAAAGAGATAGAGAGAAAGAAAAGAGCGAACGAGAGAGACTATAGCAAACAATATTGCTCAGTTCCATCGTTCTCTTTCGCTCATTCGTTTGCCTACTATAATTGGCATGAAAATGCTCCCTCGGTGGTAGATATATTACATCTATATACACATACAAATAATTATTATACTACCATCATATTAGTTTTTATAAGCAAAAAAGAAATCCAACATCAACGACAAATTATCAATTATATTGATACATTAGTAAAAAACACGACCATTAAGCATGAACTACGAATGGTTGCCATTTTTGCCTTGATCTTTTTCATCTGTACTATACGTAAGTAATATGTGACACATACCATTTAATAATTAATTTTATCGAAAAAAGGCTATCTATCTCTATCTATGCACCATGAAGATACATATGACGTCTAATGGTGATAGCATGTTGAGCACCATATGTAAATAAGAGGCGATTCTTGACGAAAAATGCTTGAAAAGAAAAGCATGTCGTATATATACAATGAATGTCAACTACTTATAGGTTTTTTTTCTTCTAATCTTGTTCAATTTCTAAACATTTGTACAGTATAGTTTGAACATAGATAAATCGATGATAAAATAGATAAGCTTTGTCGATGTCAAACAACACAATCAGTCAAACATGTCTTTCAGTCTTCCGTTTTATTTTATTTTTATTAACATATTCATCATTAAGAGCATCACCATTATGTCCCGTCTTTCTCTCTGTATTGCCGGTCGAATTTCAGCGACATATTGCTCAAGTGATTCGTCAATATCTCTATATAGAAGAATAACAGTTCAAGAGACAGTTTCAAGTAGGGTGGAACAACCAAATATAGCTTGAAGCATCTTGCGTGTTTGATTTCAAAGGAATTATATAGTATATGTATATAATCAAAGTCTATGATTTGTCAGAAAAAGAGAAATATAGAGTTGAATCCTCATCTTCTTTCTTCATCTCTTCTCTTATTTTTTTTGTTATGTATAAATCTCATTTAAATTAACTGCAGAAAAAGAAAAGAGACAGTTCATTATCCTTTTTTTTACACTATCTTTGCTAACAAATTCATCTTCATTGTATTCTCTCTTGTCTTTTATTATATAGGTGCTCATCGTCCTTTATCCGTTGAACAACAATCACTCGAACAGGAATACACTATAACTAGTGTATTAATGCAATCAGTTGTACTACCATGTAAAGCTGTATTACCCCATAGAGAACCTGACAGGGTAGGATGATAATTTAAAAAAAGAAGATTTTCTTTTAAATTCATCACTGAATAGGTTATGTGGTATAAATTAACAAATCCTGGTCAAACAACGCTTAGTGTTGGCAAACATTTAATAACGAAAGATTCTCGTTTTAGTGTTGCATATTATAGTGTTGATCATGGATTTTCACCGGCCAAATGGGATTTACATATTGCTAATGTACGTTTATCAGATGCAGCACGTTATCAATGTCATGTTATAATAAAAGATAGTCCAAATTCTATTCGATCAAATGTGAAACTTATTGTAGAAGGTATGAAAATTAAAATCTACATATTCTATTTATATATATATATCAGTATTTGCGTGAGAAAAAATACGAGCAGCAACTATATCTTATATATATATATATATATATATATATATATATATATGGAGAAGATAATCATGGTTGAGTAAAACCAAGAGAGTAAACAGATATAGATGAAGGAGGTAATCTGAAAGATTAAATAGAAAAAATCTAGACATAGTCTATCAATAGAAAACAAACAAGTAACTATGTCTATATTATAGATATTATTGTTGACATTCAACCAACTGATGTTCTTTTGTCTCTTGGTGATTCAACACAATTTTCATGTAATTTCACTGGGGAATATCGTGTTCGACGTGAAAAAGTAACTTGGCTTAAAGGTATAAACTAATATTAGATAAAACAACAAAAAAAGAAGATGCGTTTTTTTTCGCTTTTTAATTTATTTTATTTATCTATTAATAGATGGTAAACCACTTATAACAGATGGAACCCGTGTGACAATATCAACTGAATTACCTAATGCAACAGTAACTACACTACAGATAGTTGCTTCTCAATTGAATGATAGTGGTTCATATCGTTGTTCAGATGGACATAGTGCACAAAGTAAAGAAGCAAAATTATATCTACGAGATACACATCAACAAGTATTTCTTCGTTCATTTTCATCATCTTCTACTTCTTCTCTACTAACATTATTATCATTTCGAACAGTGTTTTGTTTTTTCATTTTTCATTTTTTTCTTTTTATTCTATAAATTATGATAGTATTTAAAAAAAAAGAAGCACAGAAAAAGAAAAGACCTATTTTAACACATGCTGATGTAATTATATCTTTATACAAAAGGGAATGATATATATCTATAAGAAGAAAAAGAAAGAATTGATATCTTATCTTCTTTCGTGTACTTATTCTATTGACAAGATTCACATAGACAACTAACATAAAGCAAATAAGACAACATGCTCAACGCATATCATACATCCGAACCTGCATTACAAATTGAAGTTATTTCACCAAAAATACAAGGTGTTGGTTCAAAACGATATGTTGAATATACAGTTAAAATGAAAACAACTTTACCAGTATTTAATTCAACGGAATCAACTGTTCAACGACGTTATTCAGATTTTGAATGGTTACATAAAGAATTAGAACAGGCTGATACAAAAATCGTTGTACCATCATTACCAAATAAAGCTTGGCAAAGACAATTACCATTTCGAAAAGATGAAGGTCTTTTTCAAGAAGATTTTATTGAAGAACGACGACGTGGTTTAGAAACATTCATTAATAAAATTGCTGCACATCCATTAGCACAAAATGAACGTTCATTACATGCTTTTTTATTAGAACCTGAAATTGATTTAAGTCAATATACACGTGGCAAAGTAAAGCATTAAGAGAAGAAAAAGAATAGAAGAATAATTTTTTTTTGCTATTTCATTATTTTTGTTAATAAAAAAAAGAAATTTATTGATTATCATTACTTGTATAACAAATAATCAAACAGGAAATCCTTTTATTTAATAAAAAGAAGATATTCTCGCTTTTTTTTATATAATCATATGACACTAATGTCATCGTTTCACTTTTTTTTATTTGACACTTTTACAACTAATGACTGACATGATAATGAATAGAAATGTCTTAAATTTTTCTACAAGAAGATTATACGACTTATTACATAGATTTAATATCCATATGAAATGAACGACTTTTGACAAAATTAGTTTTTATACTATATTTTCCTTCATTCTATGTATTTACTTTGAAATCATTTATGATTGTTATTCGAGCATACTCATATAAATTCGTTTAAAAATAGATTTTTTTGTTGAAAAATGAAAAAGAATTAGTTCCGAAAGGCTCAAGTCACGTCGGGTACAGAGAATCAATAAGATGAAAGAAATTATTTGAACTACTTTTCATTCATTCGGATCGATTTGAAATCAATCAATATTAGTTAAAAATACTACGTTTCTTTGCTTACAAGAAAATAGTAAGGACAAATTCTGATTTTATAGACTACGTTAACTTCACTGTTTGTAAGAATTCTATTTTCATACTGATGTAGTTTATTACAGTCATCAGATAAACTGTTTCCGTCTTGATTTTTTTCTAAGTATTTCTAATGATAGAATAAATGAATACTAGTATCATTTGTTTTCAATAAAAACTATATTTATATATATTTCCTTCATCATAAAATACAGATAATATGTCTTATTAGACAATATTTAAATGTGTTTAGAGATGATTAATAAATCATTATTTGTCCTTATGTATTTGCTATTCATAAGTATTTCTTTTGTTTTTAAAACACTTTCTTTCATTGCAAAGTAATGAAAACAAAAATACGAATATATAAGGTAAAATCATTGATTTAGTTTTTTTGTTTGTTTATATAAGTGAACGATTCAAATAAAGAAAAAGAGAGTAACAAGATGTGAGAAAGAAAAACACTTTCGCTTTTTTTTTGTTTCTATGTATCGTTGTATTTATTTTATATTTTATATTTTTCATTCAAACTTATGATGTCGACGATTTAATTTCAACATATGATTATTTGAATTTAAAGAAAAGAAGAATTCTTATTGATAACAAGTAAGATTTGTAAAAATGATTCGAATCTTTTGAATATATATATATTTTTTTTAGAAAAATTAATTCATAATGCCAACTTATTCAACTCACCAACGATTTTCTCGTATTCAACAAGAAAGTGAAGAACGTAAACACCAAGCTCATTTAAAAAAAATCTCTGACATGCATAGTCATAGTAGTGTAGATCATAGTTCACCACGTCGTTATCCACATATTCATGACGCTTTTGTAAAACATTTAAGTGATAAACGTTTAGAAATTGATAGAGAAAATGAAATTAAATCAAGAAAATTAATTGATATTATGCAAACAAAAAATGCACATTCACCACCGCCAACTCATCGTTCAAATCAAACTAACCATTCAACTCAAACAACACATCGTAATCATAATAAAAAAGATTTATCACAAGATAATACGGAATATTTCGAACGAGTTGCCAAAGCTAAAGGTAAATATGATGCACAAGAATGGAAAAAAGACTACGAACTACATCAAGAACGTTTAAAATTACGTAAAAATAATAGTGTATTTACACCTATTAATACTGGTCCTAAACATCATTCGAATACAAAAACAAATTCAACGTCAAGTAGCAGACAGACAGTAGCTACATAATTAAAAATATTTTTTTTGTCTAAATATTTTATTCAAATGAAAATAATTTTATTAAAAACATTCATTTTGTATTTGATCTCTTCATATTTTATATAGATGAACATAGTTCCAATAGAATTCTTTTATTTAACTATGTTGAATTCGGAATTATTAATAGATAAAATATATTGATAAGTAAAATTTAATAACGATAAGATTGAATTATATAAAAGCCGATACTGAAGTTAATTTTAGAACAAGTTTGCCAAATTCATTTCCTTGTGTTTGTGCAAGTTGAAGTTCAAGTTGAGATGGTTGTCGTTCTCCTTTTGTTCCAGCTAATGTTCCAGCACCTAGATGAAGAAAAAAATAAAACTTCATAAAAGTATTTAAAAAAAATGGCTGATCAAACCATAAGGTGATCCACCATGAATTTCATCAAGATTCATTAATGATTTATTTTTATAACCAAGTGGAACAAACAACATTCCTAAATGTGTAAAAAATGGTACACATGAAAGTGCAGTTGTTTCTTGACCACCACCAAGTGTTGATGTTGAAAAAAAAACTCCAGCCTAAATTTTCAAAATATTTAAATACGAAAAAAACATTTTTTGGGTAATTCTACTGGTTTGCCAAACAATGCATCGGAAAGCCAATGTGCTCCACAAGCATCAAATAAAGTTTTTATTTGAGTTGGTAGTGTACCAAAACGAGTGGGCATACCGAATAAAAATCCATCAGCTTCAGATAACTGATCTGCTGTTATTATTGGTATAGTATTATTTTTAGGTGGAGCATGCATTTTTGTAAGAATTTCATTAGATAATGTTTCAGCAACTTGAAAAATACGACAATTACAACCAGTACGTTCAAGACCAGCTCGAATGTTTGTTGCTAATTGAGCTACATGACCATACATAGAATAATAAATTATAAAAACCATAGGACGACGCTAGAAAAATACATTCGTTTGGATTCAATTTTTAAAAAATAATACATACAATTTCATTATTATTTGAACGAACCAATGTAGTATTATCAGAACGTGGTTCTATACGGTCTGACATACGAATAAATGATCTACATGAATTAATGAAGATTCTAGAGGGAACAAAAATCAATTGTTCTTTTTTACCTCGGTTGAGAATTATTATTAATTGGTTGAAATCGTGAACTTGACGAGTGCATATTTGCTTATAAAATGAATATTCGAATATAGAAACTGATTTTTAACTAATGCATCAATGATCTTATAGAATATGAAAAAAACAACGCAATAAATCATACAAAAATAAAATCCATAATATGAATACGTTTTTTCTTTGACCTTGGAATAATGCTTTAAAATACCTCTGTCACAATCATTTCTTAGGTCTCATAGTATTATTTTATGATTATTAATTTTCTTTTTCTGTATATTATAGAGCAAGAAAAAAAATATATGAAAAGAAAAACAACATACGAAAGCAAACAGCTGGATTCAAGCTGTCAATATTTATTCTTTACACCACTATTTTGTACATTTTCGTAACACATCATGTTCTTCATCTATATGATTGAAAATAAATATTCCAATTCTAAAATAATATGTAGATTTTCAATAGAATATTTTTTTTTGTTTTTCAACAATATAATAAAAGATAATGGAAAAATAATTGTTTCTATTTCGATCGATATATTATTTTCAATAACAAAACAAGTGATACTAATTAATTATCTAATAGGTTTCATTTCTCTATGAAAAGGTAAAGAATAATAGTTCCATTTGTTTGTAATTAACTTGTATTGAGACCAGAAGAATACATACATATATATACAACCTCAAAGTTTATTAACAATAATAAAGACAAGGTGTATATTGATGTCTCAACTTAAATTAAATTGACATATAAAAAATTAGATATTTATCCCTGAAAAAATTTTGTAATCAGTAGACCGATACTTATTTTATTGTCAGTAGATAAGATAATATTAATTGCATCGAAGAAATTTCTTTTACTTCATAGAACAAGTTGTCAGGTAATACTGACATAGAATCGAACAATATCTTACTTTCATATATGTAAGTTTAGAGAATTTTCGATATTTTAATGATTTCTTTTTTTTTGTATCATCAATTCATTTCATCATATTTCATATTTATTTTAATTGTTTCAACGTTAGTTGTCAAATCTTAATTTGATTTGACAGGCTGTAAGATGAAGGTTTTTTTTTCGTAAGTTTTTTATTTAACAAAAAACCGAGTGTTGTCAAAGACTTTTCTTTTGTAATATATATATTATTCATATAGAACACCATTCAACACTTGAGTAATAAAGATTGATTTCATAGTATCAAATGATATTTCCTTTTCAATAATTGACAAGATAGAATACAATAGTTTATAAAAAAGAAATTCTTTTTAAAATTGTTGCATAGTAACCATACTTTTGAACGAGGTCAATAGAAAATGTACAATAAACATAAAGTAAAAGAACAAATTGAATCTTTAAGTTAATCCTTACAATTTCTATTCTTTCTCTTTTTCGTTTTTTACTTTCATTATTTATTATTACACATTCTTTAGACACATTTGATGATTAAAGATAGAGAGAAGATATTATTCGATTGTACACATAACAAAATTATTTCATCGAATGTATATATATATATATCGTAAATCCCTGAATGACATACAGTCGCATAAAAAAGAACATATACATTCATATATACGTACGTATATGTATATATGTATATATATATATATATATGTTCACTATACATCATCGCCTCTCAGTAATAATGTTGGCGATGAACACAAAAAAACCCGAAGAAGACGTAGAAAAAAGCGAAAGAGAAAGAAAAAAAAGGTATATGATGGTAGCGATATCTTCACATAACCACATCATACAAACCAAACGTTTGAAGTATATGCACGTATAAAGAATAACGTTGCCAATACGACGTACCAGCTGGAAAAAGAAAACGCTATGGTTTTTCTTTACTTTTTGTCTTAATGCAAAAATATGACGACAGCTGCTGATAGATCATCATCTTCTCGCTATTTCTCCAATCGACCACCGATTTCATTTTCCTCATATAATTTTAATGGTACTACTCCTGGACTTATGCATCGTTCTTTAGGTAAGTCTCACGTGCAAAATATCATTTTTCGTACTATTAGTATAAAAGATTTACATCGATATAAAATAAATAAGACTGTATACATCAGAACTTGTTTTTTGGTGACGTTCTGTATTCTAGTGTTAATAAACTAATTATTTCAATATGTTGTCTTGAACTTTTTTCTATTAATGTAAATGTTAATTAAAACCCGATTGTTTTTTGATAAACATATGAAATAATTATCAATCGATTATTTATGTGGTTAATTGATACGTCTTTACAAATATTTTCTAAATAAATATGTCTCTTCATTTGAAAAATGAAAAAGAAGAAAAAAAAGTTCGATTTACTATCAGCAAGATGCAAGTACTTCAAATGTGTTATTCAATACTTATATATATATATAAAATATTTGGTTCATCTCGTTTTGATGATTTTTTTTCTCTTCGTTCTCTCTATATTCGAAGTAGCTTATAGTAGTCATACTTATATATCTATATACAGTGAATGGTGTGTCAGTTAGACAGTCTATTTTCTACTTCTTCTTCTCTTCTTTTTCTTCTTCCCTGTCTCTCTCTCTTTTTCTGCTTACTTTATTCTCTTCACATGTTATGGTTGTCGCTATTGTCGTTCGATGCATCATAAGAAACATGAAACTCGTCATCAGTCAGTATCATCATCACCATCACATCATTATCTATTGGCAACAAGGTCTTCAACACTCAAATTAAATAAATCAACCAAAGTCAAACGATTAATTAAAAAATCGATATCAAAAAACGGTATTTCTCCTATTTAATCTATAAATGTTTATTTAAACATATATATATTCAATTTGTCCTTTTTCAATATATATTTTCTTTCCTTTTCCCTTCTTCTTCAACTAATAGATAGAAATCTAAATGGGTCATCACGATTCATTCAACTAGTATGCTCAATTATCTTTATATCTATCTATCGTTATCAAGCGTTTATATATTAATAATAACAATAGTTTTATAATTATTGTTGATATTTTTTTACTTAAGTTTATAGTTCACCCTATTATTACTACTGATTGTTTATAATAATGTCAATACCATATTGTTATACTCACAGATAATCAATATTAAAATAAGAATAAGAAGATTAAATGTTCTTTTTTTCCAAGATAATCATTAGTATGAGTGTATGCGTGTATTTATATGATTTTTGTAAGTTTTTATCTGAAACATTATAACCGACTAATTTTCAAGGATAATTCTGCTTTTATTATTATTATCAGTCCAATTGACAGCTGTTTCTTTCTTTCACATATTGTAATTGGAATGGTTTTCGCTGTCATTTCTTTCTCTGTTTTTTCTTATTAATTGATTTAATAAATAATTTTAGACGAAAATCGATTAACTACTAAACGAACAAGTGAATGTCATCAACATTCAACACCTCTAACATCGGGCAATATTGCCTTAAATACACAAAATCCTCCTTCGACTTTATCTCCACTTTATATAAATCGTCGTAGACCAACAAGTGCATCAAATATGACATCATATTCAGCACTTAAACGTAAAACACAACGAACTGATATATCATCAAATATATCTCGAGTAAAATAATTTACAAAATAATTTAATTAAAAAAATATTTCTTATCTCGTTTTAGTCTCAAGTTAATCTTCAACATGTTCTTGGATTTACTTCTATATCAAATTCAGCTGTTAGTCAAGATCGTTCAACAATAGCTTATGCTTCTGGGTAATAAACTTATAAAAAGAAATAATTAGTTTATTAAATATACTTGTTTTAGTTCAACTGTTGTTTTATATGATATTCATACACAAAAACAAGATTTTGTTATTAGTACTGCTCGTAAAGCTATTACATCATTATCACTTTCACCGGATGGTCGATATTTAGCAACAGGCGAAGTAATTTGAAGACAAATAAATATTTCCTGTTTGTCCTATGTACTGGAATAATTCTAGTGTGGTCATGATCCTAAAGTACGTGTTTGGGATTTAACTGGTGATAGAACAACTTGTATTGAATTAGGTGATCATAAATTTGCTATTGATTGTGTGGTAAGCTTATTTTAATTAAAATATTAAATCTTATTTGAATAATTATTCACATAACTAAAATGATGTAAAACAGTTCTCTATTGAATCAATTCATTTCAGAGATTAATTCTATTCTCTTGAGTAATAAATAAGTATGAATAGGATAGTTATATCTGTTTTCTATTTTTAATAATGAAAGTACTAAAATATATGATTTTAGTGTTTTTCACCAAATGTTGATCGTCTTGTTTCAATTGGATCTGTACATGATGGAAATATATATGTATGGAATTGGAAAGATAAGAAAAAACTTGCATCAAATAAATGTACATGTTCTGTAAGAAGAATTAGATTTTTTTTTATTATTATGAAAAATTATTTTTTAAAAATTTTAGATTCGTCGTATTGCATTTTCGGAAGATGGAAGTTATTTTGTAACAGTTGGAAATCGTCATGTTAAATTTTGGTATTTAATTTCAGCATCATCTGTAAGTATTTTTTTCGTAAATTTGAAAATGAAATGATCCATGTTTATATAATATAGTTGGAAGTTGTTCCATTACGTGGTCGTTATGCGATTTTAGCGGAACGTAAAGATAATTTATTTACTGATGTTGTCTGTGGACGTGGTGATTGTGCTGGTATGACTTACGTTATAACGGCAAATGGTTTAATTTGTCAATTTGATGAACATAGACAAATGCGTGGTGAACGTGATCTTCAGGTACAGAGAAAAAAAGTTTTCTTTAAAAAAAAATATTAACATTTATTCTATTAGGAAAAAACAAATTGTTTAGCAATTGGTGATTTATATCTTGTTATTGGATGTATTAAAGGTGCTGTTTATGTATTTTCACCTCAAACTCTTGACTATATTATGTCAATACCTTTACCACATTATTTGGGTGTTGATATTGCATTTATCACATCGATTGAGTAATAATTTAAAACTTTATTTTCAATAAATCTATTTGATATTTTTTCTAGTCAAATACCTTATTCTCAACAACAAAGTATGTCTTTTCCTGATACAATTGCTGTTTGTTTAGATGAAGATAAATCTATTGTTAGTGAACATTTGAATATTAATTTAAAAGAAAATCGTTTGTTTTGTTCTTTTAGTTAACATGTTTTTATAATGATCATAGTTTTTATATATGGGATATTAAAAATAAAGGATCAGTTAAAAAACGTGATTCCTATATGTATCATTCAGGTTGTGGTTGGGGAATTGAAGTAAAGATTGATTTTTTTTTAATGAAAAAACCAAACAATTCTTTTAGACTTATTCACGAACAAATACAACATCATCAATTCTTCGAAATTTATCATGTATAACATGTTCATCAGATAATTCTATACGTTTTTGGTCATTAAATCATAATGAAACTGATACATATTTTATTCCATCATCACCATCATCGAATATATTCAGTAGACAATTAATGAAAATAATTTATTTAGATGATGATCATTCGAAATTATGTGATATTCAAACAACCCAAGGTTAGAATTATTATATCTTATAGTAAAATAAATATTTATTTTAATTCATTAAGAACGACCTGAATTTGTTCCAAAAATTGGTGGTCGTTGTATGAAATTAAATCCGGATGGTTTATCACTTGCAGTTGGTGATCGAAATGGAAATATTCGTATTATTCAGATGGAAAAATTTCAACAAATTGCACTTCTTGAAGCACATGATAGTGAAGTACTCAGTGTTGATTACAGTCATTCATTTGGTAAAAATAATTTTCTATTTCCTAATTTAAAAAATGTTTTTTTGTGTTTTTAATAATAGGTACAACATTTTTAGCATCAAGTAGTCGTGATCGTTTTATTCATGTATTTGATGTAACAAAAGATTATCAACTTATTGCAACATTAGATGATCATTCAGCAGCTATAACAGCTGTTCGTTTTACAAATTCATCAATAACATCAAATCTACAATTAGTTTCATGTAGTGCTGATAAATCATTAATATTTCGTTCAGTATTAAAAGTAAAATTATTGGTTGTTTTATTGACATTCTTTTAAAATAATTTTCATATAGAATGAAAATGGAAAATATCAATTTATACGTTCAAATAATATTGTTGAAAAACAAACATTTTATGATCTAGCTATTGATCATACACGAGAAACTGTTAATACTGCTTGTCAAGATCGAATGATAAGAGTTTATAATTTACAAGATGGTAAACGAGTACGAACACGTAAAGGAACAATAGGTGATGATACAGGTTATTTAATTAAAATTGATGTCGATGCATCAGGAAGATATATAGCTACATCATGTTCAAATAAATGTGTTTATATTTGGGATACAATAACATCAGAATGTGTTGCAGCACTTTATGGACATAGTGAAGTTGTGACTGATTTAAAATTTAGTCAAGATGGATTTTATTTATATACAATCTCAGGTGATAGGTAATAAGAATTGTTTTATTCAATTCATGTCTTATTTATTGGAATTTTAGTTGTATTTTTGTTTGGAATATTGTTGAATTAGCAACTGTACCAACAACATGTCGACTGCAACAAACATCTTCAACAAAATCAACTGATGTAGAAACGTAAGTTTTTAAAATAATTTTCTTAATAAGATTTGACTTTTTCCCTAGAACTGATGCTGATGAATCACTTTCACAGGTACTTATTTTCAGTTTTTCTTTTTTATTTAACTACATGGGTATAATTTTAGTCACTTAGTACTGCTGAAGAACATCAATTAAAACTAAAGCGTCAACGAAGTCTATGGTCAACAGCTGATCCATGTATACCTGTATGTATTTAATTTGAAAAAAAATTCTAATAAATTATTTGTATTGATTTCAGTCAATGGAATCAAAATTATTTCGAACACAATTATCTGATATTGTTAAAGACGAGACATCTAGTAAAATATTTCGTTCAATAAGTTTACAAGACGATGAATCAGTGTTTCTTGATGAAGGTTTACTTTATTTTTTTGTTTCATTTTATTAAACAAAATAATATTTATATACAGATGTTGAACCAGTATTCTCTCCAATACCGACGAAAACTCCTAACGATACACCCAACAAAATGACATCGTTTTTTGTTGAAAATTATGATCATGAAAATACAACAAATAATACAATTGTTAATAATGGAATTAATTTATCAAATGAAATAAAACGACGAAAAAGTCTATCATCTCGTTTTTGTTCTATTTCAAAAGATACAACGTACAATAAAAAGAAATTTTTTAATCAATTCCTTACTTTTATTTTCTAGAATACCTGATATATCATCAATATCAATGAATACATCTCAAGAAAATATTCCATCGTCACGAATAATTCAACGTCATAATAAATATATTCGATCACAAACTATAATTACAACAACAGAACCAAAGACTGCACCTAATAAAACATATATGACACGAAAAGCTCGTAGTAAGTTTTTCATAGAATATAATCAATTGATTTCTTTTTAATCAATATATTTTAGTCAATAGAACACGATCCGAAGATCGTGTTCGTGGATCATCTTTATCGATTCTTAATAGTACAGGAGATACAACATCATCGTCATCATCATCTTCTCATTCTCAATTACCATCATATGCTGCGCATACATCAAGTTCAATAAATAAACTTCGTGATAATTTATTAGCATCTACATCATCCGTACCAGTACCACTTCTTTCATCATCAACAAATAGTTCATTAACTATATCTTCTTCTCAAACACGTTGTGTTCCATTTGAGACACGTTCATCGTCAACTAAAAGTATGACAAAATCTCGTTCAACACATAATTTAAATCTTCCAACAACAACAACAAATAATCCACCAACTTGTAATACTCAACAATCAAAAGTTTTACCAGCACGTCGTGGTAAAACTCCTGTTTCTCGACGTCCACCTAATCTTCCAACAGCAACAAATATTCATGCATCATCATCATCATCTTCATCAACATCATCAAATACTTCATCACCAACAAAAACTAAACAACATCTTTCACCTTCTTTACAAGAATCTATTATACCATTACATGAATTAGATAATTCATCAAATGATCTTATGCCGAAATGGGCACAGGATTGTTTTTATCGAACAGTTGTACTTGGTTTAAAACCTTTACTTTTACAAGATATTCCATCAACACCTGCAAAACATTCAACAAGTACGTCTTCAATGGAAAGTTCAGATTCATTAGAAATAACAAATCAATTAATAAATAATCAAACAGATATGAAATTACAACGAAGTTTATCAATACCAGATTATACACAAATAGAATTAACACAATCGAAACAAAGGTATTATAAAAAAATTGTATTTTTTGTTATTTCTAATATTTATATTTAAGTGATTTTATTTCAAATGATCATCGTATGCCAGTTATAAATCATCTTCTTGATGATTTACATAAACGTCTCAATGATTTAGAACATCTTTATACAACAGTAAAAATTCATTTTATTAAAATAATTTTTGTTTTCATTTTTGTTTTCAAGGTTTCAAAAAGTTCAGATAAACGTGATTTAATATTAAAACAATCTATTGAACAAGTATTTACTGATCTTCATACACGTATTACAAATGATCAACAACAACAAAATTTACCTACAACGATTGTTAATAATTAAGAGTTTCTATATCCGGTTCTTTAAGAATTCGGTGATATGTTTTCTATTTTATCTTCAGGGATTTTATTTATTAGATCGAGCATGTTTACATTTTCGTTTCTTTTTTTTGTCTTTCGATTGCGTGAATCACAAGTGATTGTAAATACGAGTATCTTGTGTTTTCTTGTTATCTATTTGACATTATTTTTCAACTTTCGACGGTCATTATCTATCGATTTCATGTTCTTTTATTATTATTTGAGTTGATTATCTTTTTTTTTCTTAAGTGATATAAGAGAAACTTTTGTTGATTAAAAAAAACAGATGATAAAATATAAAATATGTTTTCTTTTGTTTCAAAAGAATCGATAAATATACTAGTTTCTGACTTATAGTCACGCGAATAATGGATTTAAGTGCAATTTTATTCAGTAGAATACATTACTACGCACGGAAAAAAAAATTCCGGTAAAATCGCAGTGGGAATAGGAAAAAATTGTGCTTCGAGGTCATTTTTGAAAGTTTAACTGCTGTGATTCCTGTTACTACCGCAGTTTTTCAAAATGCGGTATTTTCTTAAGAATTTTTCCAGATAAAATGTGTGTCTGCACTGATTATTCAATTAGTATTAAAACGATGAATAATATGATTTATTTCCTTTACAAAAATGAGACATCATAATTCTAGATTGTCAAGAAACTTCTTTTCGTTGTGCTAAATATAGTATAGTTACTTCAAAGATTCCTTAATTAATGAAAAATAGATATCGTATATCATGTTGATCGTATATCTAAAAATAAATGCTTGATTTCTTTTGTTAAATTCTCATACGATTATACGGAAACAACATTATAATACATTCTAATTATATTGACTGAGTGATAAATATAATAATTCAACAATAATTAAACTAACTAAACAGTAATTTGAATGTGGGTGGGTGGGTGTAGATGAATACAAGATAAAGTCACACCCACACCCTACCTCAATGTCGCAATTGGTGCAAAAAGAAAGCAAAGCAGGCTATCTAAATCCATTTCGTAAAATATAATTCTAATCTGTATGGTATTGATGTAGTTTTAGTAAAGAAAATATAATTAATTCAAATCTTTTTTTTTAGATTAGTTATTTATAATACATCTAAAAATAGAATGAAAATAAATAGATCATATTCTTTATATAGATAATAGATAAAAATAACTAGATGAATGTTATTTTCTATTATTAATAATTGATGAATGTTTATTGTCTAGAAGTTACTGACTGTGAGAATGTGCAAAAAAACAAAGAGTTAGTATGTAATTATGTGCTCTTCTTTACGACTATGACATAAGAGCGATGAAGTAAAAAAAAAGAGGAAGGAGAATCTTCCTGTTTTCTCGAGTTTCTTTTTCTTTTATTTCTATCTCTCAACTTCAATAAATATAACAAGACTTCTTTTCATTTTTTTAAAATTATATTACAAATCAAGAGGATCTATTAAATATGATCTCTATTTCATATTACTTTGTTTTGGTTAGTATAATCATTATGACCATAATTATAAGTATGATTATATATTATATACGATTAAGTCGTACTCGTCAACAAGTTCTACCGTATCCAATGCATATTTTTGTCATTGCTCAACCACATCAACAACAATTATGTAATTCTCAAATATTCTGGCAATCGTCAACTGAACAATTACCACCACCGTATAGTTCTGTAGTTCAATCAACAAATACAAATTGTAGTATAGTACATGAAGATAGTCAAGTATAGTTTAATATTTTTGTTAAAATCTGTTTTTTTTTGTATAAAATAAATAATTATCTCTTAACAAATCTCTTTTGATTTCTTTCTTTATAAACTGAATGATGATATTAAGATCAATAATGACCCAACAAATACACAAATTCCTAATCTATATGAACTATTAGAACCCTAATAGGTATATATTGATAACTTGGACACTATGTACCGAAGTTAACAGTTGTTGAAAGATACCTTTTTTAGAAAAATTTATTAAATAAAAATAGTACTGACATCAAAAGAAATCTATAAATTGATGAAAGGTGGTTTTTGTTCGTTAGAAGAAGCAAGTACTTAATAAACCTCTATAAATAATATATGTGAACTAAAGTGGAATCTATTTAAAATATGAGAGACAATCCAGTAACATAAATAGATTGTATTCAATTATCAACTAATAAACTTAAAAAAAGATTAGTTATTGTTTCCTATCTTTTATTATGTTTGGTATTAGAAAATGATAAATTTTTTCATTTGGATGATAGAATACACTGTACATTATTCAATGAAATAAAATCTATTCGTTTGAATCAATAATAGCAATTACTGGAAAATCCATAGATTTTCTTTTGACAATATTTCTTATATTATTACTCTATGCTTTGTCAGCAAAATAATATAATCAATCATTGACAAATGGATATATTGTCATTTTGTATTTCATGATGTTTTTCAGAGATCATTGGATGAAAATACGGTATCTGAACCACGTAAAAGGATAAATAACTCATTTCCAATAATATTTATATCTGTATAAGATTGCCTAAAATATAGAAACAAAGCAGTTCAATTGGTTTTTATTAATGAGATGGATCAAACTTTGATATAGTATACTTACAACGATAGTATAATATGAATTTTTCTGTATATCTTTTAGTTTGTTTTCATACTATTAATCATATTGAATAGAAAGCATTTGTAGCCTGATCGATAACAATATTATAAAGAGAATACATTAGTTGTACGAGAATGAATGAAGAGATCGGTATGTGTTTACATATATAGAATGCCTAGTTAGTTGATGATGCAAAACAACGGACAATTATTGTTTTTGCTAGACGATAGATTATCGTTTGATGGCCTATTCTTTTCTTAATACTCGTCATACTTAAATACATTAAAATATCATTAATAAATACGAATAATAATTAAAAAATAAAATAAAACGTTTTTCTTGTAGTTCAAAGCAGTTGTAGATCATACATAATATATTAGTAATATTTCAATGGATATCATCACTATGATAATTACTAATATATATCAGACATATTTAGGTATACAAAAAAAATAAACAATATATACTGATGTACATATGTATATAGATAACCATGCCTATTCTGTATTAGTTTATTTATGATGTTCAAGGACAATTAGAAATATTTTTATGTTTGTCTGTATTATTATTGTTACAAATTAAGTTGTAATTACATATATAAAATGGATATTTTGTAATTTATACTAGTGTTATGGATGATCTTGAGTTGCAATAACCAAACAATCGTTTAATTAGTTTTTTTCATCCTCTCGAGGCTATTTGATTTTTTGATAAAAAATAATTGTAGTAGATCCATTTTTCATATATATATTTACCTTTCAACAAATGCATTGGTTGACCTTTTTCGTATCTTCTGCTCGTCGTTTTTCTTTTTTTTCTTCTTTACATCATTACATAGACAATAATCCTCTTTCACATCAAATTGAGTAATCACTCATGTTTATCTTCTTCTTCTTTCTTATATATATATTGTGCAATAAGAACGAATTAACGAAATGAAATCTCAACCTTTTCTTTTTGACGTTCTTTTCTTTCGTGTGTATAAAAATAATTAAAAACTTCATGATGACTAGTAGAATCATACGAATATTTTAGGCAATGATATTGTTATCTCTCAGTCTCATGCTAAAAGTTTCGTGAAAATCTTATTTGATCTTTACTATGCCATTTGAAAAGTCGAAATTTAGTTTGAATATATTTTTTATATTGTATTTATTTATCATCGCGCATAATAGTTAGTAGAAAAAAAAAAACAAAAAAGAAAAGTAGTCTCTGTATGTATGACAGAGATAATAGGAAAAAAAAGAAAGAAGACCACAAAGGTTGTATACAAGCTTAAGAAACAAATCGGTCATTTAATAACGATGGTATACATAAGAGAAAATTATTTGTATAGGGAAGACCGAGAGAAATAGAAGACAAAAAATACAATATGCTTATATGTCCCTCAGTCATTATTATGAATAGTGCTGTACATTAATCATAAAGAACGAAAGACAATCAAAAATAGGTGTAAAAGTGAATTATGGAAGACAAAAACAGGTGATTCATATGACTTAAATAACTACTGAAGAATATCGTTGATGATAGTATAGAAATTGAATTAATACTTGTATTATATGTACGTATATATGTTAATTAAAAGAAAAAATGAATTTTGTTAATCATATTGAATAAATGGTAACGTTGAAGTATCTTCTGTTGGATGTACATCAGTTGATAGAGGTTTACATTCAAGTCTAAATTTATAGAAAATTATTATTTTTGTTTTATATAATAAATATTTCTACATACATTAAATCAAGTAATGTATTCATTGAATTTGTTAATCCAATTGTATGTCGATAGAGTAATAAACGTTTTCTTAAACAATGTGCAATACGTCTAGCATCATTAAGTCTTTCTAATAATTGTAAATAAATTGAACTATCTTCTTGTTGTTGTTTTAAATAATCTTTTAATGAATCAATCATTTTTTGATAAAGTTCATTAACTGTTGCGGATAATGGTGTTTGATGATATACATAATCTAAACAAAAATTCAAATCATTTTTTTTTTTGTAAATAATAATTCTATTACCTGAATTATTTGGATCAAGTAATAATATTGATGCTAATGTTGGTGCAATAATCGAATCAATTTTATACATTTTTAATGTTGATCCATAATCATATATTTGTTGTGCAACATCACCTAATAAATAATTCAGTTGTATTTTATGTACAACCATACCTGAACATAAAATAACACGATCACCATCAAGACGTGTTCCCATTCGAAATATAATTTGTTCTAATAAACAATTTGAATAGACACGATCACGTTCATTATTTTGTATAGAATAAAATAATGAAAATTTATCAACCCATTGTTTGATTATATCGCATGAACGTGTTATTGCATCATAAACAAGAGTTTTTTCTTCAGATAAATTTTCTTTATTTGTTACTGTTCGATACTAAAAGAAATAAAATAATCAAGATGATTTATTTTAAGAAAAAAATTTTTTACATTCAATTTGCTAAAATCAAGACTGGCAGGATTTGGTATGGAATCATTATAGAAACGACAAAATTGTGTTTGAAAACTATTTGGTTGTCGTGAACTTGGACTTTTAGGTTTTGATGGTAAACGACCTCGACGACCTTTTAATGTATCTGTGCGAACAACTAAATAAAGATAAAAGATTAGATTTTATATATTAAGGATTTTATTCTTTAACCTTCTTTATCCATGCCAACAGCTAAGCATGTTTGAAATCGACAATATTGACAACGATTTCGACGTCGTTTATCAACTGGACAATTTTTATCTGCTAAACATACATATTTAGCATTCTTCTGTACTGTTCGCTAAATAAATAAATCATATATAATTTATACATAAACATGTTTGAATAAAATCCCATTTGAAAATAGATTATTCTAATAGTCAATTTAACTTACTTTGAAGAATCCTTTGCATCCTAGAATAAATCAAAAGAGATAAAAAAAAGAATAAAGATTATCAACAAACCTTCACATGTTCGAACACCATAATGCTGACATTGAGCTGTATCTATATATATATAAGAGAAATTATTTAAATAAATATGTATATGCATATTTTTTTTGTGATTATTTACCTTGACAAACAGCACACAATTGTGATGGTGATACATCTGCATTTGGTGAAACTCTTTGATTTCCAACTAATTTAAAACGCATATCAATTCTGAAAAATTAAAATTAATTTTATATAATATGAGAATGTTTTTTTTTGTTCATTGATTTAAATTTACCCAAAATCATGTTTTAATTGTGAACTATACAATCGCATATGATCTGGATGAGAAACACCATAAGATCCAACTGAATATGATGTTTGTAAAAGACCTGTTGGTGAATAAGATGGATATGTACTAGTAGCAGATGGATGATATATTGATGAACCATAATCATCAATACCAAGACCAAAATTGTTATTGTTATTATTATTACTTGAACTTGTACTTGTTGCTGATGTTGTTCCATTAATATTTCCTAAAAAGATAAAATTTAATTAATTAAAAAAAACAATTAATTCAATAGTATTACCATAATTATTATGTGGATCTATAGTAAATGGAGTAGGCATCATAGTTTCTTGTTTAATTGTTGTAGTTAAATAACCTGTTGAATGAGGTGGTGATGATGTACTTGCTGTTGATGTACCATCATATGGACTATGACTATTTGTATTTGTTGTTGATGTACTGCTATTATTATTGTTATTAGAATTTGTATTTGATGTATTCGTATTATTAATAATTGCTTTTGAAGTTAAAACCGGTGTATTATAATAATCAACTGATGATGAATAGCCACTACTTGTACCAAATGAATGAGATGGTGAAGATTCAGAACCATTAATACCAGTATTAATTGATGCTGATGTACGTTCACCATTTGATGTACTAGCTATTTGATGATGATGAGGATGATGATGTTGTGGTAGATGTTGTTGTTGTTGTTGTTGTTGTTGATGATGATGATGATGAGAAACAACATATTCAAGAGAATTTTGTAAAGAAAGATAATCAGTAGATACACCTGGATTTGTACTAGTATCATGAGATGTAACGAAATCCGTTGAAAAAGGAGAAAAAAATTCAGTATAAGGATTGGATGAAGAACAATACATTGATGATGGATGTTGTGAATGATGTGGTGGAAGAAGATGATGATGTTGAGTTAAATGATGATGATGACTGTATGGATCATTCGGACCACCAACACCTGGTCCACTTATGCTAAGATTGTCTGTATTCATGAGACGAGCACTAAAAACAAAAAGTTTTGATCAATTAGAATACATTTTTTTTCTTTTTCTCAGGTCAATAATCATAATAATAAGTGAATTCGCGTGTATAACTTCGAAAAGGTCAACTAATGAACATAGCCGGATACTGTCTTTGGCATTTAGAATGCGTATAGATGTTGATTCTCTTATCCTAACTCATATTACTGCTCATGCTCATCATCATCATTATCATCATCACATCCCAATTTACTATGTTCTTTCTTTTTTTTCCTTCTTCTTCTTCTTTTATAATTTCGAGTTAATTAGACTCTTGCTTACAATTGATCAAGCTTTTTAGTCTGTCTATTTCTTGTATGTTTACATTATGCGCGCGAGTCTCCCGTTGTTGATTCTGACAGTTCGAACACGTGTTGTTCGCTTCTGCATTCATTAAAGATATAGACTCCTGATCTTAAATTATTTCCAGATTTTCTTCTTTTCTTTATAATATAAAAGAAGAACGAAGAGGATGATGATGATGATTACTAAACATCTTGCAGCTAATTTGACTAACAAACTGATTGACAGTGTACGATTGTATATTTATGCGGTATATTATACGTTTGATGATGATATGTACAGGATATCCGAAAGGGACAACACGTAGATATAAGATGAACTGTAACAACTAGTATCCTGTCAACACAAAGAATTGAACATCCGGATGATGAATGAGAAAATAAGTAACATCAAACAAAATAAAATCACGAGTTATCTCATAGACAAGATCACAAAAACGAATACTTTCCTCATATATATATATATATATTCTATGTGACGACAAATTGATTCTACATTTTCTGTCTTCAAATCTAATTGCATAGTCATTCATCATTGTCTATATTATTGTACATCAGAAGAGTTCATCATATACATATATATATATAGATTTAGTAAATCTATCTCTTGTATATATATAGATAAGTATATAACAAGTACTTAGTTTACTTCATTTGTTCACTCTAATTCAATGTTTTTATAATTATTTTATGAAGATCAGAGCTATCAAAAAAAGCAATGCCGCCGCCTATATACGCACATACATTTCAAACTTCATTAGATGTACTGATCATTTACATGAGGATCATTTTAATAAAAACAAATTTGCCGCCATAAAATACACGTGTCAGTGATTGACAGGTATACTTTTCCTTATTTCTTGGGAACAAAAAAAGAGATCATATATTCGGATTTTTCTTCCTTTCGATCTATTTTTTTTTATGTCCAACTGTATATGCGCGTATTTGGGTGTCCATCGAACGCAAATATAGAACTTAAATATAACTAACCTTTTGTGTCGCGTAACGATGACGATTATTACGACAGAGGCGGGTGGGCGTGTGCCAAAAATGGCATAAAAAGAATGTTTAACATTTTTAGAAATGACGCGACCTTATCGTTGTACACATAGACAGTGGCCACCAAGAATAAAGAGAGAGGAAAAAAAAGAGAAAAAAAAAAAAACGAGACGATATTCTCATTGATAATACATTGACTTTTCGCTTCTAAATATCAGTGAATAGCGCTCCGAAAGTTCAGTGTAAGAGCACAAATATATACATATAAAGGGAAGACATAGTCGTCATTGTCAATACTTATATTATCAACGGTAGGATATATTTTTCTAGTTTTCTTAGTTGCTTTTTTTCATACAAGAAAAAAAATTTCTGTTTGTTTTAAAGATTTTCTTAACCAAAAAGAAAGACCGACTATTTCGCTTGTATTGATACTTATCAAACAAATCACAAATAAATATGATTGGACGATATCAAGTACTTTTATCCAATCGACTACATTGATTATGATCGTATAATACGAATGATCGATTACGATCATCGTTCACTTTCGTTTTATGATTATACATTCAAATCAATATATATATATCGAGGACGAACTGGGTAACAAATACATAAGAAAAACCTTCCTTTAAAAAAAAGTGTCAGATTTATCGAGCTAACGAGGGAACATCCCCAACTGAAGTATTGCTTTGGCGTTCAGGTTCGGTGCATAATGTAGACCCCAGTGAAGTATGAAAAACCCCAAAAAGATAAGGGCCCATAGGCCTTCTATCCCGAGTTATGGACAGTATATTGAAATTTTAGCCTATGGGAGGGTATGTAGAAATAAATCGAATGACGGTATTTCGACCTGAGATTTTGCCCACAGAGAGGCCTATATGTGACTAGAATACCCTGAGAATTTCAGCTAAAAAGAAGGGTTCCTTCTCGAGATATTAGAGTTTCAAAAAACCACGTATATCCCACGAAACATACTAGAATTTCGTGTTTTTGAGACTTTAATATCTCGAGAAGTAACCATTCTTTTGAGCTGAAATTTTCAGGGTATTCTAGTTACCAATAGACCTCTCTGTGGGCAAAATCTCAGGTCGAAATACCGTCATTTGGTTTATTTATACATACCCTGCCATAGGCTAAAATTTCAGTATATTGCCTATAACTCGGGACAGAAGGCCTATGGGCCCTTATCCTTTTGGGGTTTTTCATACCTCACTAGGATCTGCTTAATACATGGGACCCGAACTCCAAAGCGATACTTCAGTTGGGGATGTTCCCTCGTAAGTTTTTTTCGTTCATTACATGATAGTAAAACTTGATCATTTAAGTCTTTTATATTTAAATGAATATCTCCAATACAGCAAAAAAAGAGTCCGTAAGATAATAATAACCCTTGAATATACACAGAAGATTATTATAAATTCTGAATAAATGTCATTTTCTCTTCTCTTCTTTTTTTTTCTATTAACATCGACAGTAATAATGTCATCGTCTTTTTTTCTCATCTAGATGTGTCACAAAAGTTTCTTTTCCTTTTTATTTTTATTTCTTTTTATTTTTGGTGAACAAATATCATCATTACAGGTGTATTTGATCAAATGCTAAAATCACATGAGCGAAGCAATCAATGAAAAAGAAAGATCACTTACCTAAAGAACACACAGATTTTGATGCTATGAATAGATGATACAATTTCAGAGCGTATGTATGTGTGAGGCTATAAATCTAATGAAAATACCATTTATTCAAAAAGGTCAAAATCAGTTTGATTGATAAAAAAAGAAATGAAAAGAAAAAGAAGATAGAAGAACTACACTTCGAACAAAATATTCTTGTTTTACACTATGAGAAATTCACACGTAGAACTAACTCTGGTTTTTTTTTCTTTATTCTCTCTTACACATTCGCATATTTGCATTTTTATACAATAATAAGAATGATAGTGTGCGCAAGTAAATCATCGAATGAGACGAGAGTGCCGTATATAATAGAGAAAAAAAAAGAAAAAAGAAGAGGAAGAAAGAGTGAATATCCGATTTCTTATACTCATATAGCACTCTATATGATGTGAGTAGAGAAGAAAAAAAGAATCCAATGAGAATAAATCACGCTTTTATAATACTTGACTACCAATCATACTCGACGAGTAGAAAGAGAGAAAAGAAAATTAAAACTAAAGAAAATTTTCTAATAAAAAAAGATATTATATGTTCAAAAGTAAAATACGATATATTTTGTTGAATTTTCTATCGAAACACATGACAATCATTAATAGATATTTATCATTGATGAAAGAACAATGCGAGTGTCGTTGTTACATTTACAAGAAAATGTCAAGCTTACTTGTTGTTATGTCTCGCAGTTGATCACGTCCTCGAATTTTCATCATCATTTCAATCACAAAAAGTTATGGAGGATCGACATTGCGTACACATAGACATATACTATACATTGAAAGAGAAGAAAGATAGATAGTGGGAGAGAGGGAGAGAGAGAGAGTGAGAGAATAAAAACTTTATTCTTACTACTACATACTTTCGTTTCTTTTTTTTTCTTCTTCTTTTTTCTATTTACTTTGATCCCTTATATTATATTCATTCATCCAGCTTCTTCACATACGTTCAAGTACAAAGATTAACATACACCTTCGAATAGATAATATAGCATAGATTTTACATTTGTTCATCTATCGTAACGTGCTGTCGCGCCATCATATGAGCTCTTTTCTTAGAGATGACGACCGAATTTTGTATTCATACATATTGTTTAAACAAACAACGGTGAAAATCTAGTTGACTAGATTGAATATATATATATATGTGTGTGTGTGTACGTATGCATATACGTTTATGTCAATAGTCTGTATGTATACTACTTTCTATGTATGACGAGACACAAATAGATAGAAGAATTGGGTTTTGTGTACTATTGTCTTTATATATATATTCTTTTTCTTTTTTATTTCTCATTCACATGCAATCAATCTCTTCTACATAAAGTAGTGATGAGAAAAATAGAAGAAGAAGATAATGAGATTAATACCTACCAGTAATTCCAATAGCATTTGTCCATAATATTATCAAGTTTTATTAAATTGAATGATTAAGAAAAAGAAATTCTTTTATGACATAAATACAATCTTTGAAAAAAAACGTCAAAGAAAACAAAATAGTTGTTGTCTTTTCAATCGGATAATAATACCAAATTCTTTCTGCTATTCTGATTATGACCATCCGTCTATCTTTCCTTTCTCTTCTCTTTCGTTCTAGATTTCTAAACATACAGTACAACGTTACCAATTAACGGATTAATGAGAAAATAATTAAATAAGCATCGACATCTTTTCTTCTTTTCTGTTTGCTACTTCTCGATAATAGGATCGTCAGCACTCTTCTCAGTTTTTTTGCTTCTATTCTCTTCATTTGACTACATATTGCTGCCTTGGTTGAGTGACATAAACAATTGGTACCTTCATCTTTCTCCGTTTCTCCTTGGAATAGCATTCATTTATTCATTCGAAACAATATAAAGAAGATTTCTTTTATCTGATTTTTAATTTATAATCTATGACAATGTAATTCAATTTGTCGGTGTAACTAAATATCAACTTCAAATATATATATATGTCTATATCATATCGGAAATGATTGTTTCTCATTTTTCTTTAGTAATATCATTTACAAGTGAGAATACAAAAAAGCTAATTGTCGTGCAATCTCTCCGCCCCATGTGTACTTTCGATTCAACACAGTATAGCACGCACACACTTCAACCCTATCAGATGTCAACATACACGCGTGCGTGTGTCCAGAGACGAATCGATCTACAGGCAATTGCACTGGTGTACACATCTATATATACATATGTATATATATAGACAATAAGAGACGTAGTATCAATAGAACATGTGCATCAAAAAATTCATTCGTCATTTATGATATTGAACATGGTGTCTTATTGATGAGTAAATCAATGTTATATTGAGCAATTCATCAATTACTAATCACCAAAAAAAGCTATAAGCTATCATCAACATCCGCCTTGTATAATTAATACCAGTTGTGTAAATGAAAAAAGAAAAGAATAATAGATCATCGATATCTTATTTTTCCTTCTGTTCTTCTTCTTCTTCCTCTGCTGCTGATATTGAGACAATCTGGATTTTGACTTTTCATTCGTTTATTTCAAATATGTGCATTAGGCAATAATCACATGTATGTGATGAACGGAATTTTGATTGGAAAAAACAAATAACAAACGTTTGAGCTTCACATTACAAAGGCGGTTCACGCCTCAATAATATGACAATTGCATACGCGTGTTTGTATGATACGACATAAGATCGTATTACATTAATGTTTAGATTTAACCGAACAAAAAAAAAAAGAATTCCAAATCAATAAAAATCATAGAGATATGAACATGTTACGCTTTTTCTCAATCTTATTCGATTTGCTTGAGATATACCATCTTTCACTTTCAATGATCCAGCATAAAGAAGAAAGTATAGTGTAGCCAAATGGCAAGGATTAACCATTGCTTACAGATGATAATGATAGTTGATATGGGTATAGAAAAAACACACACACTATATATGGCAGGCGTCGAATACACACAAAAAAAAACATTGACGTATGCATAACAATGGCAATGACAACATCAAAAAGAATAAAAAGACAATGCTTCTAGCATCTATTCTCACTAATGATAACTATCATATTGCTCAAAAGTTCGTCTGTAATGATGAATTTTTTTTTGTTTCATCTTTTATTAGACAAAACAGATGTTAGATATTATGATCATTTTATTTGATAAAACATTTAATTTAATTTAAAAATACTGTATTTCTATATTTCATCATTAATGATAAATAGCCTGATTAACAAGTATTGATATCTGTTAATTTTTTTTGACTGTTATCCTCATTATTTCTAATATCCGCTGTGAAACATATGCACATTCATTTTTTTTTTGTTTTTTCATCGTAGAAAAACAAACAAAAAATCTAGAAATGATCAAGTTGTACGTTGAGTGGAACAACAAATATTACACATAGTTGTTGTAGTTTATGATCGGTGATTTCCATGTCACTATTCAACAAACAAACAAACAAAAAAACAAGAAGAACAAGTGTGATATATAACGATAAAATGTTTTGATCATCAAATAGATTGAGATTATTTATTCAATGGAATAAGTATGTTTAATATTCTGATGCTCAATATCGGACAAATACAACAATAATCATTTAGGATTTTGACACAGACGATATTTTATGACTCCGTCATCACTTCAATTTCCTACTTGATATGCACATACATACATGAAACTTTTGTTTGACATTCTAATGATCATGTATATTTAGGACAACAAATATAAAAATAAAATGCACAGACAATTTCTTTTTACTATGATCAATGTTTATGTTATATTATAGATTATGTAAAAAATGATTAAAGTGAGAAGTCGTTGAAAAATTAATCTATTATGAATTACATGTCAGAAATAGAATAAACAGAAAATATTTTTTGAGGATGGATGTAGATAGCTGTAAGCAAAGGGTATTGACAGCTACACCCTAAAATATAAAGAAATACTTATTTAAATCTTATAATTAAGATAAAGAATTATCATTATTGTAAATTGTTGCAATTGCTTTATCAAATAATTCTTCTGCTTCAGTACAGGATGTAACATAACCAGTATCAGCTGGTTGTTGAGCATCAATAATAAAACCTTGTCTACTATATAAATCTGCAATTACAAGATGAAATAATAATGGAAAAGTTTCATAATATTTTATTGATTTATCATAATATAATTTTGCTTCTTTATACTTTTTCATTTTTGTATAGGTATTTCCAATATGGGAATAAAGTTTTGCAAGTTGATTCTCTTTTGATTCATTGAAATAGTTTCTTCGAAACAGATCTTCTTCTTCTTCTATTCTCTTTTTTGATTTTTTTATTTCAAGTAAGCGAGGAATATCTTCAATTAATTGATCGGATGGAAAGTTTGATTGAAAAATAGAATTTATTTTTGACGTGCACGTTGATTCGATATCACAGATAGCTTTTAATTTTGTTGAACTACGATAAATCTTTAATGCTTTTGTGTAGTAAAACAAAGCTTCATCATCATCACCACAGAAATTACCTATGTGAATATAATTATCAAAAATCGTTTCGTGAATAAAATCTTCCAGATGATTTTCATTGTTAATAGTAACGTTTTCTTTCATCATATGGTGTATCTGTTCAGTATAGTTTGACGTTCGGATACGATCGATTGATTGAAAAAAAGATAAAATTTCCAGTTTAAATAGTTTTATGAAATCAAGAGAGAACATTAACCCTTCTGTGCAAAAATACAATTCGTCTATTGTCGAACTATTCGATGTGATCTTTGATTTACATGTGGCAATTTGACTCTTTCGTGTAAGTTCAAAACCGTATGTATCATCATCAAATTGTATGTTATCATTACAATCACTGCATATTTGAACACTTTGAGCGAAATATTTTAATGCCACATTAAAGTTATCTTGTTTGGAATATTCTGAACCCATGAACTCGTAACAATCGACAAGTATTTTCGGATCTGTGGTTAATTTGAGCGTTTTATTTAAATGTTCGATGGCTAATATGAAGTTTTTCTTTTTAATATATATATCAGCTATAATACGTTGATAACGTATTTCATCCGGAAAATATAAGACGGTTTTTATAAAACATTGTAATGCTTGATCATATTCAAAATCTTCATAATAACTGTGGCCTATTCTTTGATACACATCAATAATTCATTTTAAATCAATTTGTTGATCTTGACAATATTTGTAATAACGATCTAATATACTGACACATGCATCTTTAGATGGATAATTTTCTAACATTAAAAGTTCACTGTGACATTTTAATACAAATAACTCTTCATTTGTTTTTTCATATCTTTCTAATGCTAATGATAAATATTCTTTTTTCTTTGTTTTGTTTTGAAACATAGCCATTTGAAAATAAATAGCAGCAATAAAAGATAAGTTTATATCATTTTCGATTTGCAAAATTTTATTAAAATTATCCATTGATTCTTCGTAATTTGATAATTCACCGCATATACAACCAAGATAATAATAGCATGTTATCATATTTAAAGGCTGATCAGTGATTTCCAATGCTTCAGTAAAATATTTTTGTGCTTCCTGATACCTATCGATCTGATAATGTGCATATCCGAGCCCTAGTAATGGCCATTCAATAAGTTCGTTAGACGAATATTCAGAATAAATTTGAAAATATTTTATTGCTTGCTTGTAAACATCAGTACGCTCATCAGGATATGGGCGATTAATTCGACGACATTCAATTGCGTACAAAGAATTGGGATCAATACGAGGAAGAATATGTGCTTCAATACAATATTTACTTGCTTTTTGATAATTGTCATTGTCAATTGAAGTCTCTACAATCTGTTTTTCAAATGTATTTAATTTGAATAAAGTTTGATCAATAAGTAAAAGATCTGAAGAAAAATTCTCCATCGATGATGCATCTTCGTCTCCAATTTCATGGATTATGTCTTGTGATGCATATTTATATAAATATCCACTTTTTAATCGTGCTGATGAGACATGATGTGGTTTATCTGACAAAATCATTTTAATTGTGCGATTGTTAATACTAATAATTTCAAATGTAGCACCAAAATCAAATAAATATTCACATTCTTCTGAAAATTGAGAATTATCAGTGATGTTAGCTAGAGCCACGGTCTCATTGTTCAATAATGTCAAATCTAATTCAATCTGAAACAACACCGGCACTAAGCCTTCATCTAGCAAAATCTTCTCGTTCTCACAGCCTCCAAACATATTTGCAACTTTAATATTTGACGATGTTGAAAGATAACTATTAAATGTTACATATCCATAGGACGGAAATCGACTATATTCTTCTTTTGAGAATTTTTGTCCACGGTAGAGTGTGGTAGTTTTCCGTTCGGTCAGTGATAACGAGAGTTTTAACTGTTCGAAACCCTCGTTAAGTGATTGAGATAAATCATTAATAAAAAATTGAAATCTTTCTAATAACTTTAAATCTTGAATTCGAAATGCATGATTAATCATTCGATACCATAATGAATCACGTGTATATAAAGCGATTGCTTTGCTGGGTGACTTGTAATCATCATGAAATTCGTCTATTTCCTCTAAATACTTTTGATTACCTTGATAATAGGATCGACAATAATTAATTAATTTTTGTTTTGATTGTTGTGTTCGTGGCATTCGTAAAAGAATATCTTTCATTAGTTGTTGCTTTTTAAAATCATATGCATCCGTTGCATTTATATGACTTTCTTGTTTAGTGCTAGTTTTCATTAAACCAACTAAAGGTATTTGTTGATGAAAAGAATCAATAGCATTTTTTAAACATGTAATAGCTTCTTCTTGTTTAGTATAAATGCCAATAACTTTATCAAAATCACTTGATGATGATTTGTAGACTTCTCTATTTATACAAAATATGCATATGGCTTTAACTTGTTTGATATTATGAATTTGTGGAAGAAGATTTGGTGAACTACTACCTGATATTACCATAAAAATATTGTCAGTATCAATCGATTTAATATAGTCAATACATTTTTCTTCATTATCAAATAATAGAACATAATCATTAACAGAACGTAATACTTGTTTTGTCTTCGAAATATCTTGATTTGGTAAAGCTAATGATGTATCATACCATATCAAAGTATTACCTTCTTGATTTACTGTTAAAATTTCATTTGTTGGATTGATAATATCCATACTTTGAACAGGTGGACGTACATTTTTTTCTGATTGAAAACGAGATACTTTGTTTAATTGCATCATGAATTTATTATTATCTAAATAAATTATTTTAAAAAGACAAACGACAAAAACAAGAAAAAGGAGGAGAATATTGAATAGTTTTTCTACTACTGCCCATCCAAGTATAATAAATCTGATACCATGAAGACATATGCAGTAAAATCAATAGCCATCACTACTACTTCGAAAGGAGAATGAAAAAAACATTGACTTAGACATTTACGAATGAGTAAAACTGTTTTTTCATTACCAAAACTAACAAGTAATATTCATGGAGGAACCCATTAGAATTCTTCCTAATAACCTTAAAAGTAAAAATCTTGAAATTGGCGAAGTATCGCATAAACAAGAGACTGTTATATAACTCAAATGAAGATGATACTAACACGTAATTAATTTGCTATCGATTAATAAAATAATTCATCCTTAACAGTAATATGGATCTTTTTTTAAATTTGCTTTCTTTATTGTGACACTCAGGAATGCTAACGATTAATATTGTAAGGATTCACAGCTGCTTGTTAAACATCAATAAGCGAAATATAAGTATACACTAAAGAGGCACATTTTTATTGAGATTGTACGATGTTGATGGAATGAAGAGGAATGAGGTAGACATGAAATAACGAAAAGAAAAGCATGAAGCAAAAAAAAAGACGAAAAGAAAGGAAAGAGAAGAGGAAAACGAAATGGTATGAGTCAGAATGAAGAGTACCACCACGCCTTGATATAAGGCTTTATCATTCTAAAAATTCAAGCCACTGAAGTAGTAGGTATTGATGTCTTTCACGTAACAGTTTAACTCATTTATCGATAGTTAATGATATTTTACAAAAATATTCAAATTTTTAATTATAAAAAGCTAAAACAATATCTACATGGTAAATGTAATAAATTGTACTTCATAGATTTTGTTGTATGAAAAAATAAATATTATAATTTTAAGTTGTACAGAAAATAATAAGAGTGAATGTTGTATATCTAAAAATCATTCTTATGCTTTAAAAGATGATATACTGATATGTATTTAAAGAGAACAAATGCAAGAATTTCTCGACTGATAATTTGATAAATGTACTTTTAATTTAATGTTATGATTGATTAATTTTTTGAGGAGGTGATGTGAATGAATACAAGCCTATATCATACCTACATCCACTCATATTTTTCTTTATCCAAAATAACAGTATGTTATCAAAAGTTCCATTACAAAATACTATGCATTCCTTTTCTAATCTTTATAAATACACGAGTGTATAAATTATATGAAGTCGTTTATTTCTTTTCCTTTTCTCGAATATATCCTCATGGTACATGTTTATAAAGACAAAAACGACAAGTAATGTCGAAACAGATAAAAACAGTGAATATCTCCAACATGAGTATCCATATTCGTCGTTATTTATTTCGTTTTACTCTTCTTATACCTATTGTTTGGCTTTTAATTATTCTTATACTTTTACAATCGAATAAAACATCTACAAAATCATCTGATAATATTCATGCAAAAGATTATAATTCAAATCATCGACCAGGACGTGATGCTGATAAAACTGATACATTCGCGCCGTTACTTAATAACTTAGTACCAACTATTAATAAACCAGCACATATTGAATTATCAAGTGAATCAGTTCGTGTTATACATGAAAAGCCAGAACAAGTCGTACCACCTCAATTAGAAAATGCAAAACAATCTTTAAATGGTCCTGGTGAAATGGGTAAAGCATTTGTAGTTGATAAAGATAAATTAACTCCTGAAGAACGTCGAAAATATGATGAAGGTTTTCAAAACAATGCATTCAATGGTTATGTTAGTGATTTAATATCAATACATCGTAGTTTACCTGATGTACGTGATCCTGGTTGCAGAAAAATTGAATATAAAGCACCACGAGTCACAGCAAGTGTTGTTATGTGTTTTCATAATGAAGCATGGTCAGTATTATTAAGATCAGTACATTCAGTTATTGATCGTAGTTCACCTGATTTATTAAAAGAAATTATTCTTGTTGATGATTTTTCAGATATGGGTAAACAAAAAATTATTTTTCTTTTTTTTATATTGAACAACAAAAACAAACAATTTCTTTTTTTTGTTTTTGTTAATAGAACATTTAAAAAAACCACTCGATGATTATGTAAAAGTTCTTGGAAAAGTATTTATTGTTCGTCAATCTAAACGTGAAGGTCTTATTCGATCACGTTTAGCTGGTGCTGCTGCTGTTAAAGGTGATGTTATTGTTTTTCTTGATTCACATATTGAAGCAACTGAAGGTTGGCTTGAACCATTAATTGATCCTATATCAGCAAATCGTACAACAGTTGTAACACCTGTTATTGATATTATTGATGATTCAACATTTAAATTTAATTTTGGCGCTGTAAGTTCAATGAGTGTTGGTGGTTTTGATTGGAATTTACAATTTACTTGGCATGGTGCACCAGAACGAGATCGAAAACGAAGAAAACATGAATTAGAACCTATTCGATCACCAACAATGGCTGGAGGACTTTTTGCAATTAGTAGAATTTATTTTGAAGAACTTGGAACATGTATGTCAAAAAAAAGTTATATAATAGAATAAGAGAACAAAACAAATTTAATTTTAGATGATGCAGGAATGGATATTTGGGGTGGTGAAAATCTTGAAATATCTTTTCGTATTTGGATGTGTGGTGGTAAGAATATTGATAGAATATTTTTTTTATCTATTAATTTCCTTTTTGTTTCTATTTAATATAGGTACTCTAGTAACTGCTCCTTGCTCACATGTTGGTCATATATTTCGAAAACGATCTCCTTATAAATGGTTAACAGGTGTTAATGTTGTTAAGAAGAATTCAATTCGTGTAGCTGAAGTTTGGCTTGATGAATATAAAGTATAGAAAAATATACATATCCATATTTTAAAACTAATACTATTTATATTTTTTTTGTTTAGAAATTTCATTACGAAAGATTTAATTATGATTTAGTAAGAATTATTTTTTTCTTAAAAAGTATAAGAACTGAAAATGATTTGTATGTACACAGGGTGAATATGGTGATGTATCTTCTCGTAAATTACTTCGAAAAAACTTACAATGTAAATCTTTTAAATGGTTTTTAACGGAAGTTTATCCAGAACAATTTATACCTAGTGATGCAGTAGCTTCGGGCGAGGTTTGTTAATTATAACAATAAAACGAAATAAAAAAATTTTTTTTAGATTCGAAATGTACTCGCAGGTTTTTGTGTTGATGGTGGTACTAATCATCATGATCATCATAAACCAGTTATCGGTTATCCTTGCCATTCTCAAGGTGGCAATCAGGTATGCATCAAAATATAGAGATAATGTATGCTATTTTTGTTTGTCTAGCTTTTTATGTTAAGTGAATTGGGAGAAATTCGTCGAGATGATGGATGTCTAGATTTCTCAGGCGGTGTTAATGATGCTAATAAAGATGACAAAGTTATTGTTTATTCATGTCATGGAATGAAAGGAAATCAGCAATGGCAGTATAAAGAGGTTTGTAAAATGCTTATAGTTAAACTGAAACATTGACCTCATTTTTTTTT